TGTGTCACGGCTAGTTACTGGAAATGGTGCACCAGTTATTTTTTCCTCCTGGTGCCTGAACCAGATTTCCAAATGTCACAGTTTGTTCATGCCGTCCACCATTAAATTAAAAACAAGAAGAAGTAGTAGATCGTGTTTGATATCGCTGTTTGATGTCACATACGAATGATGTTGTTACTGTCCACATCCATGAAAAACACACTGCTGCACTTCTGGAAAGATGCTGGGAGTAAATAAATTGTTAGGTCACATGAATTGACGTAATCTACGTAGATATGAAATTGCATTGCTGCAATTGACTTTTATTTTGAAAATTACTGGACATTTTACACTGACACCACGTGTGATTTCCCGTCTAGCTCTATGTTAACCGAGGAAATTGACGTGTCCCAGAAGCAGCTAACGACAGAAATTCAACTTGATCCAATCTTCAGTGGTGGGGAACATTTTAGGTGCATCCTAGAGGCGCAGCACAGCGCCCCAAAACATATGGATGGGTTCTATTTTTGTTGCGGCCAGTTTGGATCAACCCTAGACCAGTGGTACTCAAAAGGCGGCCCCCCTCTTTGTGCCCCTCGGACCTCTAAAGACGGACTGTTGGAGACTCACTTACTCTAACAGCCCTCCCTTTTTCCCGGACCGGCCCTCATCAACACTGGATTTTTTTGATGCCCCTCAGCCGCTTACATTTGAGTCCCCCTGCTGGATTCTATTTGAAGCAGTGACATTCTGCTGCCGTTCCGCGCCACTGATGCCACCAGCGTGGGTTTGGGGTTATGACAAAGCTCCTCACCTCCTGTCCTGGGCCTGGGCATCCAACTGAGGAAGCCCATTTAACCGGTTTGTAACCTGGATTTTGTTCTATTCGTCTACATTAGGTGAGGCTTTGACCATAGGTTAACCAGGAAATCATGAGCTTTGTCTTTCAGCTTGGTTCCTTCTTCACCTCAGATAACCAGAGCAGTGCCCTCATCCCTGATGCATGATCTAGACAACAAGACTCTTGAACTCTTCTGCTTCGGGCAGACACTCTCAGTCCAGATAGATTTGATCATTTTCCTCAGATTTGATGTTGCTGACTTTCAGATAGCCAAATAAATGCAAATAGGCATGGGTTAGCCAGTGGAATTCTAAACATTTATTGATAAGATCAAGAAAATAAGGCAAAAAAAAAAAGCTTTTATCATTCTTTTTGTGAGTCTAGCATAAAATCCTGTATGTTAACTTGGTACTCAAGGAAGCACCAATGGTTAAAAGGCCAGACTTTTACTAACTAGCTCTTAGCATTAGCTTCATATTTTTCTGTTTGAGGTTTCTCCACAAAACAAAGGAGTGAACTGAAGAGTGCCGATGCTTTCATGTCATTAACACAAGAATATTTCCTCTTAAGCTGTCTGTGTCTCTGCTTCAGCGCTGAAGTGGGTTTTAAAAGGTGCAATCAAAAAGGAGGTCATTGTTAACTTTTCTAAACACGCCAAGCACTATTGTGTGAGGTTACTTTGTGTGTTTTGTTTTCATGCTTTTGTCGTGAATAAATGTTCAGAAGTTTCAGGCAGCAAGAATCTGAACAGAACTGTTTCCATTCTGGGCAGAGGAAGAGCGTCAACCAGCCCTCAACCAGACTGTCAGAAGCATTCAGGCTTTGTAGGAAATGATGCACGCTAATGGGGAGAACATGATATAGGTTTTGGTCAAAGTTTCCATTAAAACAATCTCCAAAAAGATCTAATTGAGCCCAAAAGTAAGACTAGACCTTCAGCGCAGGGGGGAAAGTTCTGTGTGTGTGTGTGTGTGTGTGTGTGTGTGTGTGTGTGTGTGTGTGTGTGTGTGTGTGTGTGTGTGTGCGCGCGCGCGCCTGCTTGCATGCTTAAGGAGCGCTTTAACCTTGAACTAGTATCTGGAAGGCCTGTCCAGGACACAGCGCTAATAAAAGCAATATGGAAATTCTGAGCTAATCAACTAATCACAGGAAAGCTAATTCAGCTTGCTGGAGGTGAACGTGTGGCTGTTATTTAGGTGCTGACAGGGGCCCCGGCTGATACCGGGGGTTGTCGGGGGTTTCAGACCATCGTCACAGTGAATCACACAACGAGTCACCTTGAGGAACCACCGGCATCTCACAGCAACAGATCCCTGCTGCAGTACGGCTGTGTTTAACTCTTACATGGTCATCAGCATGATTTTATTTTATTGTTTATTATAGTTATAAACAACAAGGAATGGGTCAATAATCCTGGAAGCAGAGCTGAGTGAGATTCAACAGCGCCACCATGTGGGTGTTTTAGCACAGGACTCCTGACTGCATTTATTTGGATCACCTGTTTGAATTTGCTGTCAGTTTTTGAAGCAGATCTATGCTTTGAGAAACATCGGTGTTCTCTAAATCGTCCAGTCGGTGTCAGATTGTTCAGCTCGTGTTCTTCTGCTGTTGTAAACAGTCCAAAAGCTCTACAACCCAGTAGACCTTTAACTCACTATAAGAAGGTTTAGTCTGTGATCAGAGGCGGCCTTGACCTCCACATACAGCAGCTTGAACAGATGCTTTTGTACATAAACACCGTTGGGGTCTGAGGGCAGTTGTGATGCTCGAGCTCAGATCCTGGCTGACTAGACTGTCTTTCTTCTTCTGCAGCATGTTTTACCGCTGTTTGTGTGTCACTCCCCTTTTTTTCCTGAGCTAACAGATGCTCTCCTCTCACAAGCGTTGTAAACTTCCTTCTTATCTCTTGGTCCACATACACCTCAAGCCCACCCACGCGCATTAATACAGCAAATCGGTTCTTTGTATCGCTGAGAAAACACACATTCAGTGTGGCGACAGTTTGATCCTCTTCAGAAAAGGGTTTTTGCCTAATTCCGCCTTCTCCATTAACACTTGTGTCGTTTTTACACAGTTGCAATATTCTAAAAATATATAATAATAATTATTATTATATTGTTGTTGTTATTAAAGCTTTTAATTAATGAATATGTGAAATCAGATTTATTTAACTTGGCCAGGTGTTAAGCTGAGAAACATTACATCTCCATCTCCTCTTCATTCAACACTCCATGAACCCTGTGGTGCAGCTTTTCAAAATAAGAGCGGAGCTTTACCAAGGATTACCATTATTAGAGTCTATTGTTACTTTGAATGATTCATTTCTGAAAATATAACATTTTTACCTCTAATCACCTTTGTTTTTGAAGCACACATTTTTACAGCACAAGCTTTCAGATCAAACTCAAATTCACACTGAGCCAAAATGAAAAACTGCTATGAAGTTGCGGGCCAATGTAACTCAGTATTTTTTGAAAAAGTGACGGCTAATTAGCACATTTTCCTTTATCTACAGATAAGTACTGCTGTTGAACCTTTTCACTTGGAAACAAACTTATTTTTGCAGTAACACTGAATGTGGATAACCAAATTACACACGAGCAAATCAAGCTCACATCAGTGGTATTCCTTACTTAATTATGTCTCAATGTTTTTATTCTTTTTATTGTTTAAATTGTGTATATATACAGCATTTTTTTAGTTTCAATATTTTGAATCTATGTTTTCTTGCTGTTTACTCTTTATTCATATTTTTTACGCCCTTTCATTGCTCCTGTATTGAATTTTATCACTGCTGTGACACGAAGCTTTCCCCAGTGAGGGACAATAAAGGCATTTTCTGCTCTATTTCTATTCTATTCATCTAACTGTAGTCTTTCTTTGCAGTTCCTGTTTTAAAGTGGGTTAAATCTTTTTTCACAGGCCAACAACAAAATTAACAAAATAGTAATTTTCTTAAATGAAAATGCAATACCTCACCTATTAACTTTCATGCTTTGGAGCAGAAAAGGTGCGTAAAACCACGATAATTCAAGCTCAGTCTGCTCCACTCTGATTTACTGTGATGCTCCCCTGTTCCAGCCAGACACCTGCATCTCTGGGGTTTGGCTCCGAGCTGAGCAAGGAGTTCATCAGTGAGTCTTCTGTATTGTTCTGTTCATCTTCATCATAGACAACAGTTGCTCACATAGGTTTGTGCTACTGAAGAGCATCAGTGCCGCTTGGCCACGCTGTCGGGTCAGTGTGTTGGGGAGGAAAGATAAAAGCTGCAGCACCCAGAGTCACATTGACTTGAGCGTGTCACTAAACTGGAGTTAACTCATCTCGGTCTGGAAGTTGGTTGGTGCACTTTCCATGTCGGCCGAGAACAGACTACTGAGTGGTAAAAATGGTGTGGTATGGTAAAAATCCATTTCTGGGATTCAGAATTGGCAAATTGCTGAGTAAACTCAGCTCTGAGTAAGAGGTAATGCTGCAGATGCCGAGTAGTAGCCTAGATGCTAATGAATGTAAACAGAAAGGAGGGGCGCTGCAAGAGACACGCTAACGCCGCAAAGCACTATGGGATTTGTAGTCTTTGCTGCAAAATTGCCGGCGGGCCTGTTTGATACTTGATATAGCAGGCCAAATTTGGTCTGAGAGCCTGAGTTTAACACCTGTGATGTAAAGCATCAAATTTCCAGAGTTCACATTTTAAGGATACCACTGATGCCAATTTACACCAACAGGTGGCAGAGTTGGAATGTTTAGTTGTAAATAAAACTTATAAAGGTTATATTATGAGATCACACCAGAATAATAAACTATAATTAAACTGTCTAAGGTCAGGGCACCCAGATGTCCAAACAGAAACTTGTTGCTTTTATCTATTATTATGTGAAAGTAAAATTGTGTGTGTGTGTGTGTGTGTGCGCGCGCGCGCACGTGCGTGCGCGTGCTTCATACACTGCCAGTGTGTCTTGCCCTCCTTCTGCCATCTTGTCAGAAGGGGTGGAAGCTTAGAAGACCTGACAAAATGAGAGCATGCTTGCAAACAAAAATTAACATAACAATTTTTGTTTGTTTGGGTTTTTTTTTTTTGTCAATAACATTGTTTCAAGATGATTTGGGGCCAAACTGTATGAAATTTTGAAAACCAAGAATCTTTATAAAGCAGATATTTATGTTTGTGTGCCTGCAGGTTCTAAATGAGGCAGTGGGAGCTATGATGTACCACACCATCACCCTGACCAGAGAAGACCTGGAGAAGTTCAAAGCGCTGCGCATCATCATCCGCATCGGCAGTGGCTACGACAACATCGACATCAAGGCTGCTGGAGAGCTGGGTATGAACCCTCAGAGCGTCCACCTCAGTACAATACAGTCGAGAGAGTTTAAATCTCTGTTTTTAGTAATAGCGCTCCTTACTTTAGATAAACCATAATGTTCGACTAGGAGCTGTTTCAGCAGATGTTTACCTGTTGCTTTCTTCTTCCGCCCTTTATTTATTGATGACATCACCAACTTCAGGCACCAGCGATCAGATTTATCCAGATCCTTTAGGAATGATTCATAAAGTAGCATTACGGATTTTGGAAAGTTGCACTGACTAAACTGAGAAGATAGTTTTTCATAATGGGGGTTGGCCGCAAGCAGCTTGTTTACAGTTTCTTTTAGAGGCCGAATGTAATAGTCATATGAATCGTGGAGCCAGAATGTTCAAAGAGACAGAGGGAAGGATGAGCAGGAGACGACGAGGAAGAGTTAGATTTTCTGTCTGAACCACCACCCGGGCTCATATCAGCTGGCTGGTGGCTTGAACGGCTCTTACAGCTGACAAAGCTGCCATTTCCCTGCCAATAAGAGATACTGTGTCTAACTGCCACCCACTCATCGAGAGCACTCTGCCTGTGCAACGCAGGAGTCAAAAAGCTATCATGCCTCGAGAAGGAGACGCAGATATGACGGCTGTTCTCAGAGAGAAGAAAAGGGGCCATTGATTGAGCGAGCTCAGGCCTTTTTATTTACTGTCCAGAGTCAGCGGTGCTGTTAACGTGAGATACAGAGTGGGATGAGGACATTAGTGGGGAGTGAGGGCGGGCAGAAGAGCTTAGAAAATGTTAGATTGAAGAAAAGGAGACGTAATACCACAAGGTCAGGCGTTCAGGTTGTTTAAAAGAAGCTGAAACTCATGTCTGCATGTTGACTGAGTGGAATATTACTGTTACTACTACAGAGAGTGGTTCACACTGTAGTTTATATACTAAAGTTTGGGTTTATGTGCACCTTAAATATGTTATAAATACTAGCATTAGCATCTACTGCTGACCTGAACTCATCTGTTATTTGATTCATGTAATCAGAAAAAAGTATTTAAAGACAGATATTCAAGTATCGACACCATTAAGGCAAAACCAGTCAGTAAAAGCAGAACGTTAAGCCTCTAATTCATATTTTCTTATCTTTAGATTTTATTTTCTAGAACCGCTCAGGTATTAGACAGCTTTTTAAAACTAAACCCTGGATCTAAAGTGGTTAAGCGCGCACCGGATGAACACTTGATGAGAATTACATTATTGATTATACCATTAGGCAGATTCATTTTGAGTTCTTTCTGTGGCCTCAGTGTGTGTGTGTGTGTGTGTGTGTGTGTGTGTGTGTGTGTGTGTGTGTGTGTGTGTGTGTGTGTGTGTGTGTGTGTGTGTGTGTGTTCAGGCATCGCTGTGTGCAACATTCCCTCTGCAGCAGTGGAGGAGACGGCAGACTCCACCCTGTGCCACATCCTCAACCTCTACCGACGAAACACCTGGCTCTACCAGGCTCTCCGGGAGGGCACGCGGGTCCAGAGTGTGGAGCAGATTCGAGAGGTGGCCTCCGGAGCCGCCCGCATCCGTGGTGAAACCCTCGGACTCATCGGTTTTGGTGAATATTCAGTTTTACAGCATCAGGAATACAGTTTTATGTCCTGTTCTGTTTACCTTTCAGTTCTTATGCCCCCGCCCCTCAATGTGTTCTGTTCTCCGGCTTCGATGGGGTTGTTTTTCCTCACCCTGCCACAGATTACCTCAAGGCTGTCAGTTTGGACTCCCTCGCAGTTCACACAAACACACATACACACTCTCTCTCTCTCTCTCTCTAATGCTCACTATTATATCTCTGTTATTTTCTTTTCGTCTGCTCCACCATAATCGGGCCTCATAGTGGGCTTGATGCTGCCTCTGTCTGCATGTGTGTGTGTGCGTGCGTGTGCGCGCGCGTGTGTGTGTGTGTGTGTGTGTGTGTACCTGCACCTGTTTCACTGCTGATTGTGTGTGCTGGTGCTCAGTTCAGTCTCAGCATCTCTGGCCAGTCAGATCCCTGGTCTTCTCACAAGCTTTTCCAGAGTACCACCTTATCTCTGTGTCCACATTTGCTCCACAAACACCCAACCTGCCCCACCACAGGCCCCTGACAGCCGCTTAGACTCACTGTGGCTGAGCAGCAGGTCCTGGCAATGAAACCGTCTCTTCATTCACTCCCGTTGTCATCCAATCCTCCCACCTCCAGCCTCCTCTGTGTACAAACAATGTCCATTGTCAGTGGGAAGTTAGGGTCAGGGAAGGATTCCTGATGTTCCCATGTAGGGGAAAAAACGTTAGGATAGACCACTGACTGAACAAATAATAGATGAGCCCTCTGCCCTGTCATCTGTAGGTTTCTGAAGAGCTGAATTGAAACCCAATAGGCAGTTCCCACCTCCGCCATCTTGGCTCTGTCACGTGTCTCGTCACTCCCGGAAAATACAAAAATGGAGCTGAGAGCAGGGCCATGAGGATTGGGGCAGATAATTAACACTCATTAAACTCTTAGCTGATGTAGCTATGAGCTAATTGGGCTAACTGAAGCTAACAGGTGCAAGAAAACCGCAGTTGAGCAACTCTGCTATCCTCTGTCTTCTAGGCTGTAGCATGAGGCTGAGGCCTTCTCTGGAGCAAGCAGGGAGGGGGGCAGCTGCTAACGCTTACAGCTCATCTGCTACCTGTCAGTCCAGTGGTGGTGCCAGGGGGGCGCTAGGGGGCGCTATAGCTACACCTGGATTAGTCATTGCACCCCCATAGCACCCCCAAGTAAATATTAGATTTTTTTTTTACAATTTAATTTTAATTTAACGTGTGGATGTGATAATATTTAACATACAAAACAAAAATAATCAGTAAATTATATAGATAGTAAAAACTTAAACCAAAACAGGAATTTGATGTTAACCTTTGACCTCATTTTCCACCTGCGAACCAGTGAAAGGTAGAGCTAGTGGTAAAATGGATCGGTTTTTGTTGCCCAAATTTCCACGGGTTCAGTCAGAAACGAATGAATGTTTGGAAGTGATCCCAGACCCACAAAAACCTACGGATCTGGATGAAGAGAGTCAACCCTCAACCGCCGCAGCAGTCGAGGGTTTTGCTGCTGGAAATGCTAACACTAACGTTAGCTAACCTTGCAACACTATAGATGGTTTTCTGTGTGGCTGTATGCATTTATGATTTCATGGAAAAGTCAGCGATTGTTCATATGTTATATATAAATGATTGTTTCAGGTGTTGTTGAGGTTTTGTGCACGCATGTGTATCTGCTAGTGTTGAAGGTGTTTTAGAGAACAATAGCTACGCATGACCACTTCCTTCATAGCACCCTCAATTAAAAGACTAGCTCCTTCATAGCACCTGCAGAAAAACATTTCTGGACCCGCCACTGTGTCAGTCAAAAGGACACACTCATAATATTCACAATTTGAAGTTGTCATGATGGTAAACGTGGCCTATTAATGTAAAATGATTTTTGATGTTCTGTGGATAAATGAGAAACTGAGCAAAAATCAGCTGGAGAAAGACGGGAGTGAAGTGGCAGATACAGAGGTGTCCCAGTAGGGGGCAGAACCTCAGGTTTTCTTCAGTAGTGGTATTGATCAGTAAAGGAAGGAAGGGTGAAGGAAGGGTTCTTAGCGATTTTATGCAAACAAATACTTATCCTGCTATTTTAAATTCAAAAAGTATTTACCAGAAACAAAGCTGATTATTATTCTGCATTTTATTTTCAAAACAGAGCCTACACCACGCTCAGGACAATCCAGACTCTTCTCATGCATCGTTCCACAAATGTGGAATGACCTTCCAAGCACTACCAGAAGCCCACTACCAGGGGCTTCCTTTTCAATTTTCAAGAAACTCCTGAAGACCCTGCTCTTCAGAGAGCATCTTCTAAACTAGCACCTTGCCTGCACCCGTCCCCCCTCTCTACTGTCCACTCCTTGTTCCCTCCTCTCCATGATTGATGTCAAGTTGTTGTTGTTATTGTTGTTGTTAGCCTCAAGGGCAACATGCCGATTATCACTTGTAAGTCGCTTTGGACAAAAGCGTCTGCTAAATACATAAACATAAAACAAGTTTTACCCTTTCTAAGTTAATCTCCAGGCAGAAGCCTCAGTACATGTCTGAGCTGCAGCTGCAAGGCGGCTTGTTGTGTTTTAAACTGTCTGGCAACCCCACGCCTTCCTGAACTCTGTGCTATTAAATTGTGCTTAAAGAAATGAAAATCCAGAGAAAATCACATAAAATTTGTGAAAAAGTATTGGAAAAGGCTTGACTTTAATCAGTGCAAGGCAGATATTTTTTGCATTCATCACCAAAATGGAAAGTGGAATCAAGACCCTTATTGATCTTTTTTCAGTGCTTTGTGTCTTTGATGCAGCTGCAGAGCAGAACGGTTCCTCCAGCCAACAAACTCACATCCTACTTAACAAATGCTGTGAGAGACAGAGGGACAGGCTCATTGTGAACTTCAGACTGTTTCTGAGTCATTGTCTGTCACCTCACACTCCTCCCCCTCTGTCAAATGATTTCTCTGTCATGACTTCTTCATGTGGGGGGTCTGATTACTTAAAAACAGCATAAATGGCTGATTAAAGTGGGGCAGATTGTTACAGGGTGGCATAAACGGAGCAATCTATCAGCTGAACACAACGTAACTGGAATATAAATATATTTATGGATCTTTTATAGCATATTTCCATCGCTGCATCTGGTACGGTCGGGTCTGGATAAGTTTGGACTGGTGTGTTCCGGTGTGGGTCTGCAGTTTTCATGCAAGCATTTTGATCGCAGTTTGGGCCTTCGTGTCGGCAGTTTGGGCCATCAGGTCGGCAGGCGGGGTTAAACAATCCGTCAAGCACAATTTTATGAGTTGTGCAACTATTCAGTATTTTTGTGCTGCAGTAAATGGTCTACAGAGCTAAAGACAAAAGCAAAATGCTTACCCCCAGGCTCCACGTGACTCCAGAGTGCAGTCGCTAAGTCCAGAAGCCTGCCTTTGGTGAGCAGCTCTGACAAGTATAAGGGGGCTAGACCATTCAGGGCTTTGTAGGCGAAAGTTAGAACTTTGTATTGTATTCAAAAGTGCACAGGAATCCAGTGTAGATCAGCCAGAATAGGAGTGATGTGACAGCTTCTATTTGTATTGGAAAGAAATCTTGCTGCGGCATTCTGGACTTTCTGCAGACGATTTAGGACAGATACATTTGCGCCGATAAGAACTGAGTTGGAAAAGTCGAGTCTGGAAGTGATAAATGCATGAACAACAGATTCTAAGTGCAGCCTCTTAAGAATGAGCTTTAGTCGGGTAAGGCGACGAGGCTGGAAGAAGCAGGATCGAACAGTGGCATTAATATGTGCACTCATTGACAAATCAGCATCCAGTTTAACCCCAAGGCTGGTCACACAGGAATTAAGGTTGAGGGGGGAGAGATCAAAGGCAGCAGAAGTGTGCAAATTATGTTTTGGTTTGAAAAGAATGACCTTGGCCTTATTTTCATTGAACTTCAGGAAATTGGAAGCTAGCCAGGTTTTAATTTCTGAGAGACATTCTGAGAGCTGAGTAATGGAACTTGACCGATTTAAAGCCACATAAATTTGACAGTCATCAGCGTAAATGTGATAATGTAAGCCCCGTTTAGCAATGATGTTTCCCAGTGGAAGAATATATATAGAAAAGAGGAGTGGACCTAGAATAGAGCCCTGGGGAACTCCCCAGGGGAGCGGAACAAAAGGAGAAGAGCAATCGCATATGTGAATGCTGAAACTTCTATCAGACAGATAAGAGTGAAACCTGTTTAGTGCGGTCCCTGTGACTCCCAACAAAAGATTCCAGCCTGGTTAGCAGATTGTTATAGTCAACTGTATCGAATGCCGCTGATAGGTCTAGCAGTAGTAACAGAACAAAGGAACCAGCATCAGTTTCTGTCATTTAACACACGAATATGTGCAGACTCAGTGCTATGATTTGGCCTAAAAGCAGACTGAAAATGGTGAAGTAGTGAATGTTCCAGTAAATGATGTGAGAGTTGAGCATGCACCACTTTTTCAATAACCTTAGATTAAAAAAAAGGAAGTTTGGAGATTGGACGGAAACTTGCATAATCATTTAGATCCAGGCCAGGTTTTTTCAATAGCGGTTGGACGACCGTCTTCTTAAAGGATTCTGGAAACTCCAGATGACAAACTGTAATTTAAAATATTAAGAATAAAAGGACCCACTACTGGTAGAACCCCAAGTAGCAACATTGGGGGGAGAACATCCAGTGGGGAACTTGAGGGTTTCATAGACCTGATTAGTTTATCAAGATCTTGAAGGGAGGCATGATCAAAATCAGAGAACGGAGTGACTCTTTCTGGGTAACAGGTCCCAACAGATCATGTCTAATTGTACAGATTTTTTCCAGGAAAAATTTCTGAAAATCAGTGCATAGTGCTATAGTTGGTGTGGAGGGGGCAGTGGATTCCTTTAGTGAAAGAACAGAGTTAATGGTACTGAAAAGCTTACGTTGATCACCACAATGTCTCTCAAAGATGTTGGCAAAATAATTATTTTTAGTTGATCTGACAGCTTTTTGGTAAGCTGCCAGGGAGTCTTTCAGCATTTGGAGGGAAATTTGTAGCTTGTCCTTTTTCCATCTACGTTCTAGTGTCCTACACTGGCGTCTGAGGGCACGACTGTTGTCGTTTAACCAGGGATCAGAGATGGTCGTTTTTTGCCTGAGTTTAAGCGGTGCAACAGTGTCTAGGGCAACAGAACAAGCCATATTGAAGGAGTCCACCAAACCATCTACTCCCACAGACGTAGATGGGGAGAAAGATGTTAATAGGCCAGTCTCCAGGCTAGATGACAGCATAACAGAGGACGAGGGAGCAATATACCGAGCGTAACGTTTAGCCTGATGCCTTGTAGGGAGAGATACTGTACTGTCAACCAATCAGTTGACCGTGTTGTTTCTCCGCCGTAACCATATCACTCCAGAAAGGAGGCCAAAAACATCCCGTGACTGGTGCGGTCTGGGTAGGTTGTCTGGACTGGTTTTACAATCAGAACAGAAAAATTAGCGACCCGATCCTTCCCATTCCATGCCAAAACGGTTGATGGAAATGAGCTATTAGAGGTATTATGAAATGAAAATGTGCTGTATCTGATTCTACTTTTTTTTTGTAATTTTTTCAACATTTGCTCAACATTCATGACAAATTAGTGTGAAATATAGCAATTACTGCCATTGCATCTTTTAATATAGTTTATTCTCTTACTCTAGTTTTTTTTTCACTTAAATATTTATTAGAAATAATTTGATATGTTAAGGGGATCACGGACAAGCCCCCAATTTGTTCTGACCTGTTTCAAAGATAACAAAAAAGGGGATATACATTTATATATATATATATATATATATATATATATATATATATATATATATATATATATATATATATATATATATACATTTATATATATATATATATATATATATATATATACAGTACATATATATTATATATACAGTACATATATATTATATATATATACAGTACCTATACATATATATATATATATATATATATATATATATATATATATATATATATATATATATATATATATATATATATATATATATATATATACAGTACATGGATATACATTTCTTAAACATTACTACCTGAGTCACTTTATGCTTATTTTTAAACATGAATAATTTAAACTACGTAAACCATTCCAGACAAGACCCCAGTCTCTTATGTCCTGGTTCTAAGACCATAACAAAATATAAAAGACGCACAGAGACAATACTCAAATAACAACATACCTAAACAAAGAGCTGAATGGTGGTCCAGTTGGTAGTACTGTTTCTTCACAGCAATAAGGTTGCAGATTCAAAACCTAGCTGCAGCCTTTCTACGTGAAGTTAGATATTGATACCGATATACGTATTGTCCATCCCTACTGGAAAGAGCTGTTATAGAAAATGAATTATGTATGTGAATATGTAAATATACATATGTGTGTGTGTGTGTGTGTGTGTGTGTGTGTGTGTGTGTGTGTGTGTGTGTGTGTGTGTGTGTGTGTGTAAAAAAAATAAATAAATAAAAATAGCTAAAAATAAATCAAGAGGATCCACTATTTTCCAGGTACACCCTGCCTATTCAACACAAACTGGATAATTAGATACCAGTATACACAAACACACACACATTCACAAACAACATAAGCCTGACCCCATAACAAATTTGTGCTGCTGTGTGTCCTCGTAGGTCGATCAGGCCAGGCAGTTGCAGTGCGGGCCAAGGTCTTTGGTTTCAACGTCATTTTCTACGACCCGTACCTTCAGGATGGACTGGAGCGCTCACTGGGCGTCCAGCGCGTCTACACCCTGCAGGACCTGCTCTACCAGAGCGACTGCGTTTCTCTGCACTGCAACTTGAACGAGCACAACCACCACCTCATCAATGACTTCACCATCAAACAGGTGAAGCAGACGGGGCTAGTGCTGCACTGTTCCAGTGTGACTGAGCCTATCATAGTGGCTAGAAAGCAGGGGATGTGGGAATGGGAAGAATGGCAGCATTCCTGCCTGCACATCCCCAGCTCTTTATCTTAAGCTCCTCTAAAGCTGGACACAAATTCATTCCTTTGCTCTGTCAAATGCAATTAGCGCCAGCCCACAGCTACAGCAAATATATCGACTAGGCTGCACAGCAGGGGATCTGCAAGCTCTGCACTCATACTCTCTGCCTGCGGTGACACCTGCAGGGCAACCGGGCAACTGCACATGCTGGAGAGCTTCTTTCTGGTGCTCTTTTTGAGGGTTTCTGAGTCACAGAATGTGCAACAGATAAAGAGAAGTGGGAGTAGCAGCCTAACCTAGTTAACTGTGTTCTGAAGCTTAGGATTCAAGTGCTGCAGTGAAAGAGCGCTTTTCTCCTTTCACTGCTGATGTTTTGGCAAAGGTTAGCGTGTAAAGTGGAAACGTGAGTATTTATGTATTTTTTTGTGCATCAAAACCATCAAGGCCTAATAAAAGACTGCCTGCCAGCGCAGAGCCTTTTCATGCCCCTGGATTTCAGCTTTTTGTCAAGATTAAGGGATTACTTTCTTCAGAGCATAATCACTTGATTTTTTTTTTCACCCCGTCCTCCTTCATAGACTTTTTATTGTGTGCTCTTTTTGGGTACCGCAAGCAGCAAAGGGTGGTGGCACTGCCTCGTCTTTTATCGCTTCCTTCATTTTAAAACTGCTCTTTATTTACATCAGACGATTTCCCTCCCAGGTGTTTACCGCCTCCTACACCTTTCAGGTGTTGGGATGCGACAGAGATGCTACAGTTTACGTTTAAAGCCCCTCAAACGTATTGATCTCCTGCTGCAGATCAGTCGAATAATCTGTGTTTCTGTGTGGAAGATGCGTCAAGGTGCGTTCCTGGTCAACACCGCGCGAGGGGGCCTGGTGGATGAGAAGGCTCTGGCCCAGGCGCTGAAGGAGGGAAGGATACGTGGAGCTGCCTTGGACGTCCACGAGGCTGAGCCCTTCAGGTGAGTGCACACCTACAGGAGAAGGATCAGGGTGAAGGGCTGTTTAAAGTCTTGATCTTTGATTTATTTCTCACTCTATAATTAGCATTTTCTCTCTTTTACCTGATTAACTGAATGTTATTTTTATTTTATTTTTTTTTAGCAAACCAGACATTTAAAGTTGCTGTTTGAGGCTCATCAAAGTTTTTTCCACCATGTTTCTTTTTAGAATCGACAGACAAAATAACAATGATAAAATAAACTGATTCTGGGTGTAATGGATCTCGTTTTATGATGTAAATGAAGCTGAAGGTGAATTATTCAGGATTTGAACAAGTCATAACGTCTCTCCTCTACGACATGGGTCTGATTAGTTGCTGAGGCGTTCCACCTGCAGAGCCAGGAGAAAAGAGTGTGGAATAAAGACTTTTCGAGCTGCCGGAAGATGACACATCTGAAGATGTTGAGAGCTTTAGGTTTAGATTTAAAATGTATTAATGATACCAGTAGATGATGCACGTGAAAATTAGATTTATGTATCATTATTTTGAAGCCAAAACCCTCCTTCTTCGTTATTGTTTCTGGCTCTTATGTGTGTTTTCTATCTGTGTGTTGAAGTTTTGCTCAGGGCCCGCTGAAAGATGCTCCGAACCTGATCTGCACACCGCACACAGCCTGGTACAGCGAGCAGGCCTCTCTGGAGATGAGGGAGGCGGCCGCCACGGAGATCCGAAGAGCCATCACCGGTACTCCGTCCCCCTCACACATCACACCGCCTCACCGGCCTCTCACTAAACATCCCAGCTGTTGAACGATCTCAGCGATCTGCTGGTGTTAACACATTTTTCAGCGTGTGTGATTGATGCCCAGGCCTGTTTATAACTTTATTTGTGTGACGCGACAGGACGAATCCCCGACAGCCTACGGAACTGCGTCAATAAGGAGTTCTTTGTCACCACGGCACCATGGGGGGTCATGGACCAGCCAGGAGTTCATCCTGAGCTCAACGGTGCCGCCTACAGGTAGGACATGATCATAAAGATTTCTTCACATCATCATAGAACAGATTTGTGCTGTTTTTGCTGGATGTCACATTAAATCAGAGCAGCAAACTAGAGTCTGCATCAGTAAATTATAATCTGGGTAAATAAAAAAGACAAAATGCAATTTGTTTCATTTATTAAGAGAACAAAGGTTTTCCAAACCAGCCTGGATTTATGTGTAAATGTCACTAAACCCTCAGATTAATAACTAGTAGCAGCACCCTTGGTGGTTACAGCCGTAGGTGTACCGAGTCTGTCACGTCACTGTAGAGACTCTTCTTCACAATGTTGTTTCAATTCATCATCAATGGAGGGTTTTCCAGCATGAGTAACTTGTTTAAGGTCAAAGGTCAGACATTCTCCTTCAGTTCCAGCAGGTGCTCCAGACCATCACACCACCACCACCGTGTCTGACTCTTTTGGTGATTTAGATGCGGAGTTAGTTTTAATGAAGGTGTGCCCTCGTCTGCTCGGCTTTCCAAATACGATGAATCAGTTAGTTCATGACTTTAGGTGGTCCAGGTTGGTTTGGATAGCTGTTTGTCTTAAAGGAAATCATTTGAAACTAGTTTGTATTACTTATGTTAGCATTAGTTTAATCTGAAACATTTAAATGACAAAAAGCAAAATGAGAAGAAAGCTAAGGGGGAAAATGCTGTTTATCAGTTCTGTATGGGTGTACCCTCATAAACACACACACACACACACAACCTGTCCTCTTTAGAGAGATACTTTGTCCAAAATGTCCAATTCAGAGGCTCTCTTGATCTCAGCATGTCTTTCCTTCACACAGCCAAGTGAACCAAACTCTTGCAGCCGTAACGACCGGCGTCCCCCAAGACAAAATTAATGCCTAGATCAGGAGCAGGTAAATACGACGGCCTGGCCCAGACCCTCTCACCTGATGTGTGTCCCCCTTGTAGCCTCACCCTCCTCCCAACACTCACCTGAACTCAGCCTAGCGCTGGAGGCTGGTGAATGTTGGTCTAGATAGAGATGCTTTCTCCTTGCAGGCTTTGGGGAAACTCCTCTCAGGCTGAACTGCCTTGTTGGTCTTTTTTCTCCTCTTTCTGGTTTCTGGGTGTCTCTTCAAAACCAGTAAAACCTTCATCATTATCAGGAACAAGAAGTCTGCCCTCTAACGATGCAAATCCAACAAATTATTAAGTTATTGAATTAACCAGACTAAAAACAAGCTGCAGATCAGACGCTCCTACAGGGATGGTTCATATGTTTTACATCCTAAAACGTTTGATGGTTTTTAGTTTGTGGTTATTTAATCCTAAGGAACAGATTATTTTGTTTTTTGTGGAAAATTTCCATTAAATAGATTTTTTTTCTCTTGCAGCCAAACTTCAGAATGTTTTATTATTATTATTATTTTTAAATGTGAAAGCCATAAATCTAATTAATGAAAAGAGTTAAACTCTAAACGAGTTCCTGAGGTGAAGTTCCTGACTTTTAGTGGCGTGCGTGTGTGCGTGCGTGCGTGTGTGTGTGTGTGTACTGCAGTAACCTCTGACCCTGATCGCCCACAGATACCCACCGGGTGTGGTAGGAGTGGCTCCAGGCGGCCTCCCGGGGGCATTAGAGGGCATGGTGCCCGGTGGGGTCCCCATTGCCCACACCCTGCCCTCTGGTACACACCCCTCCCAGGCCCCGTCGCCCAACCAGCCCTCCAAACACGGCGAGACCAGAGAACACCTTACCGAGCAATAGCAGCAGAAAGGGACAGCGCAACACCTCCATCCGACCCGATGACGCTCAGAACCGACCGATCACAAAGCAACTGACCAACTGGGACCAAGAGACAGTGAAACGACACAAGGCGGCTGTTCGATCAGCCCGACGCGGGATCAGAAGTGTTCCAGGGGAATTTATACTTTTCAGTTTTTACTATCGTCTCTTTGGGTTCTGTACCGACTCTACTCTTTGATGATGTTTTTGTTTTGGTTTTCCTCCTTCGGGACCTGCCTATGATTGTGGACACAGAGTCCAGTTTTTAGTGCTCCGGGATCCCCATTGAGGCTGCTCTCCTCCTTGTACACTCATGGGAACCGTAGGCCCACTTCTCACACCACCACGGGAAGAACAAACACGGGAGAAAAGGCATTGCGTGCTACTGGACCTTATGACCTCCCCTCCCTGATGTCCCTCCACCTTTCCGCCCCACCTATGTAATGTGTGTTGTTTAGACCCCACAGTTATGCCTCACATCATTTTCTTTATGTTAGTCTGAATGATTATAAACGATCATTTTAAATACATATGTCAGATAAAAAGGTCAAGATTTTGTAGGGTTTAACCCCTCAAAGACGCAGTAACAGACAGTCACCACTAGAGGTCACTCTTACACTGTGCTGACCATCTTCAGTTGTCTGAAGCCACTTGTAGTTGAACACTAAAATCTACTTTGTACATTTGACTGCAGATGATGTTTTAAGTTATTTTAAATGTTCTTTTCGTTTTAGCTTAGCTTTTAGGAAAAGTCCATCATCAAATGAGGCAGCAGAAATGACACTTCCTCCTAATTATGAGCACATGACAAACCAGAGGCAGGAAAGGGTTAATGCGAACTTCAGTTAATAACTCAGGAAAACATGTTTTTGCAGATTTTTTTTCTTCCCATCAAGATTTCGTCTTTAAAGGAGAAAACAGACTAATCAGGTTAGTCTGACAGCTTTCTCCACCATTGTGGTATTTTTCTAAAACAAGGTGCATCACCACTTTTTTAACTTAAGAGTTTTGAGGAGTCCTGTTAGATTTGTATTGCCTAGTTAAATGTTCCTATAACCATAGTCCTATGTGATCCAGCCCTCTCCTTCCTCTTTTTGTTCTATTAAAGGCCAGTTTTTTTGTTTCGGCGTGGGCGGGGGGGCATCCTGTACTCCGTAAGAGCAATAGCTGAAACTCTGTAGTGTCCCAACAATAGCAGAAGAGGCAGCCAGCAGTATGTTTTGTTTTTAGTGTTGAGTATTTGTATTTGTTTCTTGTACAAGGTGAACATTTAGCATTCAGTGCAGTTCAAATAAAGAGAAGATTCTGAGAAGCAGGCGTTCGATCTGATTCATTTGGAGAAGAGAAGCCAGTTCATTTCTAGGATAGACCGATGAATCCTAAAATATACTTCTACTTCATTATTGCAGTATCAGGGTATATACAGCAATCCTTAAGTAAAATTTACTACTTTTTAATACTTTTTTTTACTACCTTCAGAATTTTTTTAAAACCATCACAACACTTAATTGCAAGTGTTAATCAGCGACCTATTTACACATATTTTAACATATATAACATACAAAAAGAATAGACTTAGAGACTCACTGATGTTGACAACGTATTGCACATATTTATTTTACTTAGAAAATAAGCCAGGCACTTCTGTTCAGCGGTCCAGACAGTTGACCACGAGGCCTGAAATGATGCAGAACGACCACTGAATATGACGTCATCATTATGTGACTGGATATGCTAAAGTAGGGCTGCTCGATTGTGGCAAAAACAATAATCACGATTATTGTGACTGAAATTGAGATCTCGATTTTTTAAGACGATTTTTCAATTTATGTAGATTTTTGTTTTTGTTTTTATTCAGTCATAAAATTGCTCAGGGCACAATCAGGGCAAAAATAAACAAGAAACAAGATGATCACTAAAATAACTCCCGATTCCCAGTATAAAAAGACCAATATACTTGTGGCAAGGTGGATAAACGAGAGCCCAGGCAGGATTCGATCCCCAGACTCCCAGGTGAGAGTCATACTCTCTAACCAGTCAGCCAAAGAGACATCCCCTTGGCCAAGTAGCCAGGATGCATGATCTATCGGGACACTGTGACAGGACACTCACACTGTCACATACTTATAGCTCATAGTTTATAAACCAAGGGCTATAGACCTTGGTTTAACTCATTTAAGTCTAACCAGTACAGACCCAAATACCAATATCTTGCAAATACTGACAACAAGAATTATACAGTGGCGTTTATAACAAATACATGCAAATTGATGTTCACAAAATTTTGCATAACATTTATTGAGTCGTGTCAAGGTGCTCTAGGAGCGTGCACTAGCACCGTGTCCTCAGAGAGATTAGTTATTAGTTATCAGCGTGAGGAACTCATTTCTACCTTATTTATAAACTATTTATTTACAAGTCGTCCATCAGTTAATGTAATAATTGTCCCAACCACAGCTGCACCCCCCACCCCCGTCTCACAGCTATCAGGGGCAAACTGCACGCGCACGCGCCGCACGTGCACATTTAGCCGTTTTTAGCGGCTCAGGAGTCCGCAGGTGCGGTGTGTGTGTCACTCACTCTGGTTAATCCAACAAGAAGCCGGCTCCGAGAGCTGTCTTAAGCGACCGACACATCACTACATCATTCCCTTTCCTAATGTCCTGAAGAACGGTCAGGAGCGCAGGCGGAGTGTTTAGCTAACCTGCAGGAAATGTCGACGACAGTTATCCAGAAAGTAGCTAAGGGTTACCAGAGATGTTTCTGAGGTGTTCGCCAGGTACTTTTAAGATTTAAAAAGTCAAGAAGGGGGTCTGAGAAGCTGTTGGAAATAGCGTCAAAGTCGCCAAGTTGGCAACACTGTGAGGAGCGCTTCATTTGCAACTCAGGGCAGCGTAAGTGGGAGGAGCAAATAATCGGCTTGTTTTGTTTTTATAATCGTTCAAAACATTTCATTCGGAATATATTTCTATGTCGATGTTCAGAATACGACACCTGATAGTCTGAAAAAATTAATACCTAATTTGGAAAAAATAATACCTCTGTGACCAAATTTAACACTTTTAATGGCCTTAAATTTGACTATTTTTATTTATCACTTTTTAATACTTTTTAAAACCCCGCGGACACCCTGAGTATTTTGGGATGGCCTTAGCAACTCTGTTTTTCCTGCATGGAGTTGGCATGTTCTCCACATGCAGGCATGCATTTTCTCTGGGTGCTCTGGCTTCCTCCTACAGACCAGGGTTTCCGCCTGCTGGAGTTTCGACTTCAGACTTCCCTCAATATCAGATTTCCTTTTTTTAAACATTTAAATGACTTATTTTATCGGCAGATTTTATAATGAATTATATTCTAGAAATTAGATGTGTGGCTGTTATTAAAAGCCTGAAGGTTGAAACACTGAAGCCCGTTTCACACAGAGTGCTGAATGTCTCTGAACATCTGCTCCCACAACACCACCAAATGATTAGAATATATAAAAGAACTATACTGAACAGATATCCCTGCCATTAAAGGGAGACTAGGCAGTTATGGCTTGCTTATAGCACCCCCTGGTGTCTGTTTAGTAGAACCGAAAGCGAAACTTGTATCCTCGCTGTGCGTTTGTCTTTTTAAACACCTTAATCTAACAGCTGAAACACCTCCCCAGCCATCATTGGTGTCTACAGGAGTAATTAATCGTGATCTAAATCATGCAGGGAACGTGCTGGAAGCAGACTGCAGCGCCAGGTATGTCAGCTCAATTCCTACAGACCAGACCTATGAAGTTGCAAGTGTGGTATTCTGGCCACAGTCGGAGTAACATTTCATTAACCCTGTAGGGTTATTTTAGCACATACTGACTTCCTTTAATATTAAAACAGAAGTTGGCTACAGAATATGCAATAAAGGTTTTATGAAATAAACAAGCTGCACCTTGATTCTCACTTCCTGTCTGGCTCAAGTACTTTCTTTCACTTAATCCAGTCACAGCATACAGAAATAGACCCCATGTAGAAAATTCCCTGAGCTCCACATCCGTGCTCTGATTGGCCTTAACAACTTTTGATCCATGCAGAAGTTGTACAGAAACCAGACCGCATCGGTTCAGCTTTCAGTGTGAACGGGGCTCGAGACTGCACATACGTAGCTGGGTACAAGTGCAACCTTTCTTTACAAGCACCATTAATGCTCTGTGCAGGACCACAGGTGATATGGGACCACAACCTTCTGTTTCAAATGAATGTTTTTCAGCAAAGACACTGAAGACTTGGGAACTAGTGCCACCTGGAGGCCTTGCATGGCTCTGAATGTGTTTGAAATTGTGCTGCATTTATTCTCTGAAAATGAGGTGGTGTGGACCTGAAATGGGTGGCAGGTTGGTTTAACAAAAACTTGGCTTACGGTGCCTGAGCCAATAACGTTAAAAAACCCACCAAACTGGATTTAAACAAAACACCTTCAGACTGGAGCTTCCAGACTGATTCATTTCTGCTGAGAAACCCATGAATTAGTTTTTAAACGGTTTGAATGGACTCTTCCATGTGGTAATCCACCTCCGAGGAATCCTTCCTGTGAACATTACCAGCTGTGTCCCCATCCAAATCCAAAACAAGTGCCTGGAAATGAAAAACAAACAGCGACTGGGTCGATGCAAGTGAGTTCATTTTAATATCAATGCTCTACCTAGAAGAGGCCGAGTATTTGGTCCCCTCCCCCCCACCCACACCCCCCACCCACACACACACACACACACACGCATCCTCACACCACTCAATCCAACACCAACAGGAGCTACGAAGCCACACAAACAAATGTCAGTAAACTTGAATGTCCAGAACAGAATGTAGGATTTTATCTGTGCAAAATAAAATACTTCAAGACTAAGTGAGTCAAAACAGATTAAAACAAAACAAAGGGTCAGAACCGAGAACAGGGCCTTCATCTGCTCCTGAAGGAAGAAATAAATAAATCCAGCATCAAATAGGGTTCACAGAGAGGATAACACTCAGGGATCCGGGTGGCATTTCACCCCCCCCCCCCCACACACACACACACACAGACAGAATTAGCATTTCTGTTTCTTAGCAAAGGCAAATCTGTAAATGAAATTCCTCATATACTGCAGCTTAGGGAATCCTTAAATCCAGTATATCCTTATATAATCTAGCTTTTTTCTCAAGTTATAATAAGTATTTGATGAAAACGTGGAGAAACCCGAGTACAGCATGGTACACTAGCAGGACGTGGTGTGCTTTCATGGGAGAAGTCATCAGGATTGTTTAATAGTACTGCTGGTTTCTTCTCTACCAGAGTTCACAGGTCACATGCATTGTTACAAGTCAAGGATTTATGTCATGGGGGGAAATGTAGATGGCAGAGCCTAGGGTGTCCATGTTTAAAGTCTCGAATGGCCCTCACTCACTCGTCTTCGTCCTCCTCCTCCCCATCGGACAGAGAGGCACAGGGGCGGATCTGGCGGTACCTGTCCAGCCACTTCTCAACCATCTGGGTAACCAGAGGGTGGTTACGGCGGCGGGAGCTCTTCTGCATGGCCACCAGGGCGCCTCCTTCTGTCACGCAGCAGTCCAGCCACTCCCGCAGCAGCTTCTCCTGCTGCTCCTCGTTCCCCATCTGCACACAGACAGGACCAGGTGCTCAAGTCAGGTAGACACGCAGCTGGAGACAAATAGGTGTGTTCATTATTTTAGTAAATCTGTATTAAGTTGTCTTTTATGACGACTAAAGCGATGAGTGCGTTGAAAATGCATGTAAGGCAGGTTTCTGCCACATGGGGGCGGTCTAAAACATTTAAAGTTGTGTTCTTTTTTTGTTGAGGCTTTGGTGAATAAGTCATTAACAACACCCTCTACACACACACACACACACACACACACACACACACATGAATCGTATTAGTATTAGAGCTGACCTCCTGAGCAGACAGGAAGTGGATGTGAAGCAGCTTCCTCTCACTGTCCACCAGGGGTAAGAAAGTGACCGTGACATCATCATCTGTGTCGAGGTTGGCTCCTGCACCACGATTGTCATATCCATCATTCTCCATAGCAACCAGGGCAGAGAAGTGTCCTCGCGTGTAGCCCAGGGCAATGGGGCTCTTCCAGCAGAAACTCTGCTCCCACAACAGAGGCAGGTACACACCTGAACACACACACACACACACACACACGACCTGAAGAACCAACACTAAACACACCTGTGAAGGATAGCCTGTCCTTCTGTAAACTCGGGTTTAAATGTGTGTTTGAAACTCAGCTGGAGGCAAAAGCTCTCGGATCAGACCTCAGCAGCCGACTGGAAACAGACTTCTGAGATCAGCTCTGAGATAACGCAACGCTCCAACATCAAACCGAGACATTTCCATACACATTCTAGCAAATCGAAGCTTCACCTTGAAAACGTGTGTATCCCAACGTTTCCCCACGGAAACTTTTGTAGTACTTCACTCCGTAGACTATGATCGGTCTTCGGAGGATATGTGCAAGAACAAAAATGTGGGTCTGCTCCAGGCTGGCCCCCGGCTGCAGGGAGAAGGGGGAGAGTTAGGTTTCACATTACATCACATTTACACTATTAACATTCACAGGTGTCAAATACATTCAGAGTAGGGAACCCAGCAGGCACAAACGACACAAGTTCAGCTGAATATTTTACATGTAATAGCTTTTGACCCAACACACACACACTCTATTGTGCAAATGTTTACAATCCCACCATATTCTACTGATATTACTTTAGCTCCTATGAGCCAGACTGGGAGGTAAACTTTTTAAAGTGGCCTTGATGAAAACATCTCTGGGTTTTCTAAAGGTTTTTTAGCATTTTCATTTGGATTTTGACAACTGTTTCACTCACTTCCAGTGAAGTGTTTGTATCTGACCAGTGTGTGTTTTGAAAAATAAGAAAAGTGGACGAGCAAGGGACAAGAGACAATTTTCAGACGTTAGAAAAGAACATCCACAGTGAATGGGCGGTTTTTAAAAGTCTAACATATAACACAAATCCAGCAAATATCTGAGATCCATCATACTCCAAAATGGTCAAAACTGAGCTTCAAACAGAGAAAAGTTGCCCAAAGTTGAAACTAAATCCTTTGACAGACGGAAGAACTATTGTTCGAGACCCTTTTGAGTCCAATCTGGCTCTTTGGAAACATTAAGTTGTGTTATCGTCTCACACATTCGGCGTGTTGGACGTCCTGTCCATACCACCATGGAACCCATGTTCTAAAACCCTGAGATGGAAGCCACGAACACACACAGCTGTGCTTTTGTCATGCTCTGCTGATTCACACATCACTAAATAACTAATATTGTGTTTTCCACTCTACAACAGAAGGGAATGAGCTATAATAACACAGAGCTGTAGAGTCTGATCCTGTATGTGACCTCATATTTGACCTCATGTCAACATCTTACTGCAATCAGGTCAAAAGTGGGCATTATTCATCAATACAAGTAAAAATAGTACCAACGCTGCAGCTCTGGGTTTACATCCATCTCTCTCTCTCTCCGTTTCATCTTGTATTTGTACCACCGAAATAGCAGACAGCAGATTACACAACTAGTAATGAATAAACTGTTATCTCTATCAGGTCTGTTCAAAGGCATCCTTGCTCACTGATGTACAAAAAGTGACTTTTCGTTTCATCCGATGTTCTCCAGCGTCACCATTAAAGCCTCAGAGGGGGTTATGGGGTGTTGGGTTTTGCTGCGTGCGTTTAAGTCACCACTGGAGCGACTCTTAGCTAAACGTTTGTAATCCCAGCATCACGTGGTGGTATGGAGCGCTGCCCCAGCAGGTGTGCCAGAGACCTGGATCAGCTGTCTGAAAACTCACAACTGGCCCTTATCGGATCGTCAATGAGCTTCTGAGCTTCCCGTCACTCATAGAGTCAACTACAGCGCTGGCGTTTCAGTGCTTTAATGAAGCTCCCTCATGTTTAAATCATAACTGATTAAAACTTTCATCCAGCTCAGTTTTAGAGCACAATCTAAACCACGGACACTTGTAGGTCCGTGTAACCGACGCCACCCCAAGGTCTTTACAAGCATGTCTTCATGCAAGAGTTCTGCAACAGCAGCTGCTGCGTACCCTTCAGAGCTGACGACATTCATGCAAAACCATGCAGCGTGTACGCTCAGCCATGTTGAAGCTCTAAACTGGTGCGCTCCTTGATGATTTCATCAGCAAGTGCAACTAGTCAGCCAGTAGTGAACTATTCTCAATCGCAGGCCAAAATCAAACCAGTTATTATTATCCTGCAATTGTTCTAACTTTCAGATGTTGCTGATAGAGGTTTATTAGGTTATGGCACCAGTTTTGCATCGGATTCCTATCAAATGCATGCTCATTTGCTTTACACAACTACACACCACCTGGAGGTCACCACATCTTTCATTTTAGATAGATGGAAGAAAGTGAATAAACATGAGACAGCCTCATAATTACCTGGCTAGCCAAAGACAGGATGAACGCCCAGTCTTCCTGCCACTGCTCCTCCTGGAGGGAGAAATGTAAGCCAAAGCTCTGGGAGTACCAAGATTCCCAATCCTTCCAGCGTGTGTAAAACCTACAAACACACACACACAGCTCAAAAACTGGACTTACCTAGCTGCAGACCCACGGTGTTGCAGGTCTGACTGGTTTCAAATCAAAAAGGGGTATAGTATTTCAGTAAGTTTGAAAATGCAACATACTGTATTTGGTTGTGTGAACGTGTGTGTGTGTGTGTGTGTGAACGTGTGTGTGTGTGTGTGTGTGTGTGTGTGTGTGTGTGTGTGTGTGTGTGTGTGTGTGTGTGTGTGTGTGTGTGTGTGTGTGTGTGTGTGTGTGTGTGTGTGTGTGTGTGTGAACGTGTATGCGTGTGTGTGTGTGTGTGTGTGTGTGTAAAACCATCCCAGACAAAGCAGCAATCACTAGACTTGAATTAAAATACAAATTTCATCTAAAGGGCTTTTCAAAAGATCTGCAGCAGACAGAAGAACTACTGACAAAAGTACTGCTGAGAAAAGTAAAATAAAAATCACAAGAGAACAATGATGCAATAACTTTGGTACGTTCTTTCTGTGTTTGGCTTCTAATTCCATTTTTGGTTCTTTTTTAAATCGCAGGAAAGGTTTCTCTTTACCTTGCTGACAGTTTCGTTTGCGTCTGCAAACATCCTCAGAGCTGACGCTGATGGTGGCGCTGATGGGGTTTACACATTGGATCGCGCATGGGACTGCATCATCAGCGAGGAGAGAGCGGGCAGCAGAGGGCGACAGCTCTGAGGATGTTTGCAGACGCAAACTAAACTGTGAGCAAATGATAAATGACACGCACTTGTATAGCGCCTCTCAGTGCAAGGACTCCAAAGCGCTTTACACTACAGTGTATCATTCATCCATTCACACACACATTCACACACTGGTGGGGATGAGCTACGATGTAGCCACAGTTGCCGAGGGCGCACTGACAGAGGCGAGGCTGCCGAGCACAGGCGCCACCGGTCACCAGCAGCAGGAAAGGTGGGTTAAGTGTCTTGCCCAAGGACACAACAACAGAATTCTCTGTCTGGAGCCGGGATTGAACCTGCAACCTTCCAATTACTGGACAACCCGCTCAACCTGTTGAGGTACTGCTGCCCCATAGCAAGAGAAACATTTCCTGTGTTTTAAAAAGGAACAAAAAAATGGAATGATGCAATAAAATGAAGATGAAAGGAATTAAGTCAAGAAAACTGGGTAAAAAAAAAAGAGGTGGCAGCTAAAAAAAAAAGGACTAAAAAAGGTGCATGCAGTAATAATATGACACCCTGTGGTCACTTGGGTACTGCAGTCCATCTATCAACACAAACAAGACCACTCTGAGCAGTAGCGAGCTACAGAGCTGCATCAGAACATTCTAGATGACGAGTGAAGACGAGTCACACAGTAAGTAGATAAATAAATGTTACTTTAATATTGAGTTGTTGGCTGTTGAAAAAGTAACTTGAGATTTTTTAGAGTCGACTATTTACCATTAGCATTGCTAGCACAATGTTAGCCTCTAGGCTGTTTCACGCGATTTTAGAGTAAAACAACAAGATGCCGTGACTTCTTAGGGGTACAAGAAATAACTTCCGGGTCTCTCCCTTTTACTGGTTAAAATGATTTCCACGGTGCTGCTACTCTTTGCTGGCATTGAATTACGAATGCCAGCACAGAGTTGGTAACCCTTCGGGACATATTGTAAACAGAAACTACATCCCTCTTTGTCCTTTTCTAAAGGAGAAAAGGTGATAACCCCCCCCCCCCCCCCCCAGCCGACTGAGAAGTACATTTGTAATAATGTAATGTAGACCGTTTTATGATTATCTAACTGTGAATCATTTCTTCATGTAACTTTAAATACGTCCCAAAAAAAAAAAAGATGAGTCTTGCTTCTGTTCATCTTAAACGGGCCCATTAAATCGGGTCTAGCGTGAGTCAGAGTCAGAATGGAGGTCTCACCAGTGGGAGCAGTCATGAAGGCTGTCACGTAGGGTTTTGCGGAGGACTGAGTCCTTGTCGTAGATTCCCCAGGTGGCCTGCAGAACCGAGTCCAGCAGACAGTCTCCAGCTGTGCGGTTCCACAAGGCGTACAGACGACTGTCCAGGCGGGTGCCCAGCTCCAGAGACCAGTTTATAACCGGAGATTCCTCCTCTAACTCTGGAGGTGGGAAGGACAAGATGCAGGAGAGCAAAAATAAACAAGAAGAATGCATGTAGCTAACTGAAAGTGTTTCTTCTGCTCGGAAACAAAGTTCTAATAAATCCAATCGTTTCTTCCTGATGACCTGGTTTCATAGTTTAATCAGGTCATATGGCTTTTCACAATTCCACTGTAGCACCCAAACCGAGACATGATGCTGTGGTGTTTGGTTAAACGTGTGGAAGCTCAATTAGCCCAATTAGAGGAACAACTAAAGATGAAGCAGGCTGGGGGGATGAGGACAGAGGAAATGTTAAGTACCTTTCTGCACATCTCGATCCAGCACATCATCAAAAAGCTTCTCCTGGACAGCAGGCGGCAAGTCCTCGATATCTGCAGAGTCACACGGGAAAGATCACTTTTACGGCCTTTTTTCTGTAACTGAGCACTCCACTCCACATTAATGACCCCACAGAGAGGGAGTGCTTTTGCCGTCCCATTCACTTTGTGACATTTAGTCAATGACACCCTGTAAACACAAGCTCTCTGCACAGGGGGTTGTGTTTCTGTGCGTATTGAACTGGACACACGTAAAGCCAGAAGGCTGGTGGCTGGTCTCTGGTTCAGCGGTGAATGGCATCGGTTTCTCAGAGCAACAGAGACCAAAGCCTGCAGATGGCCTCGGGCCAGACTCTGTCTGCAGCACGACCGTCATCTCAGCAGCCCTGAATCAGAATACGGGTGGCTCCTCAAAGCAGAGAGCAAGTCACCAGGGTGATGACATCACCCCGGGACAAGGCGCGCCAAGCAGCTCTCTACAGGCACCGGCTTTGTTTTTGCTTCTAGAAATATGTAATGTCAGCAAATTGGTTTTGAGGAGGTCATGTTGCCTTCTGCTACCTAGAACCAGAAAAATATGCTAGCATAGTCAGAATTACCGCGTGGGTGGTGTGATCATCAGAATTGGAGGAATACCTGCAGGCAGAGTGAAGGTGACCAAATCTGTGAGGAAGTAGCAAGCGAAGTCTCCTTTGCGCTGATGTAGCGAAGCTGCGATCTCCCTGCGGATCTGCTCCGTCAGCTCGGGGCAGACCATGGAAGGGATGCACTTGGCTGCCTGCTGGTTCACCTTCAAGATGAAGCGCACACTGATCAGCTTAAGCCTTAAAGACTAAACACTGTCTTAGCTGGTTGGTCTATGGGTCTTCAGGGTTTCTGCTCTTCTGCACTGCCATCAGAATGAAACCACATCAGCTCTGTAATAGTTGTCCATTAGAAACAGCAACTGGAGCAGGGCTAATCCTCCAAGCTCCCTTTTATTGGATATAATTAAAGGCTATTGCTGTACACAATGCATTGTGGTAAAACACACGTGTTACATGGTTGTGAAACATTAAAAAAAGGAAAAAACTAAATAACACCAACCAGCATAAAAATTACAAAAACAATTGGGAGTTAATCCTGTGGAGCACAACTGATCTGCACAAGGCTCTGGGACAAGTAGGGCTGGGCGCTGACGCAGCCACGAGGTACAACAGCATATCCAAAAATAGCGATGGTGTTGCTTAGGACATTGTTCTTAAAAACTGCTGAGAAGGTTACCACATAAACCGTAGGTCACATCAAAACGGCACAGACAAGCCTGTTGGTGAAACACCAGTGATCAACACTGTGAGTAAGCAAAGCTTCTCCAGGACGACGTGAGATTGTACAGCCGCAACGGTAATAACCATGACACTTCGTTGGCCTTGGTTTGTAAAAATTTAAACTTAGCCCAGAAAAATATATATATGGCCGCATGGTTTCAGGGGAGACTATGTCATTAGTCAACGTTGAGCTGGCGGCTGTGACGAACCCAAAATCGTTTCCTACTTCTGTTACCTTGACAGACTCGAAGCCCATTTCTGGGCTCAGAAAAGAGAAAAGAGCTTCAATTCTGTTTGAGTAGTAAAACCAGGCCAGAGTCTGCTCACCTCCGTCAGCAAGATAGCGAGCATGTCTTGCCTTTGAAAGCGGATAGCTAAATGGACCAGGGTGAAGCCCACGTCAAATGCTGAGGACCGACTGAGGAGCTGCACCTCGTCAGCGGTGAGCTGTCGGGCGATGTCTCCACCAGAGGACTTGTAGGCTTCTACAGCAGCCAGGTCTCCTTCCACCACACCTGGAGGAGCGGGGGGAACACACTTCATTGTACTGCTATGGTTAAAGACAACATACTAAACTAACGATAGCATGATAGACAAAACAAGACTGCACTGATTTGGCTCATGGGTTAAAAATAAAGATGAATGTTTGGTGAGAGAAGTACATCAATGTCTTCTCAGTCATATCCAATAAAACTTTTGAAAGGTTTAAAATGTATTTTATTAATGGTCAAAGTATGTATAAGGTAGTACACGAAAGGCAGCTCACAGACCATCACAGCATCAGATAACCAATTCTACCAGAGTTTAATCATCATGAGGTGTTTCCACTACCAGAACTTCAGGGTAACTTCCCGACATGCGCATGTCTCCACTCGACCAGGCCGGCCAAATGGTCAATAGTCAACGAACGCCACATTTTACATCACACAACTACTTTCATCATCTGAATGGATTAAACTACGATATACTTCAACAGATTAAAACATTTAATGTTATTGTGGACATTTTTTGGCACTCATCAGTGGATCACTCACTGCCAAATCAGTCGCGATATGCTGCCGTCTAGGGCTGCAACAAACGATTATTTGGATAATCGATTAATCGGATGGGGTCTCGACACGATTAATCGATTAATCGGATTACATGGGGAAATTTTTAAAAACTGCTAGGGAAACGTTATTTCTCTCCTTCCTTCACTTTATTTAACACAACATTATTAGAAAACAGTTCAATAGCAGAAAAACAACATGCCATCACCTAAATTGTCTTATAAGGTGTATAGACAGAGACCCTACGCTACATCTATCTGTGACCTAAAATGCTTGGTCCAAGTTAAACAGCTTAAGGGCAATTCTCATCTGTTTTGTTTGATCTCATCTGTTGACATTTATTTTAAATGTAATTAAACATAGGCTGTGAATTAATCAAAATTGATCACTATTTCCAAAAATGACTGAAAAAATACCAAATAAAACAAAAGTAAATGAATGCCATCCTCCTTGCGATGATGCCCTGGGCAACTGCCATAAAGTCACATCAAGAAATGCTGCTGATCATTCCAATGATCCCAAATAGACTCCCATTAGGCCACATGAAAGCAACTGAACCCAAAAATTAGGGCTGTAGCGAAGCCTCGACGAAGTCGACGGCTCGATTCTAAAAATTTGTCGACGTCAGATCCGGAAGTCGACGCACCGCGCCCACTTGTTGCATCCCCTGGAGTTTGTAAATAGAGGAGGAATCTGCCTGTTTTTCCTCTAGTTCGCCCTCTTCTCCGCCTTCACTAACATCTCCGCCAAATACCGAAGACCCGGAACAACGTCCGTCCACTACTAGATTATTTTCCTGTTTTGCCCGCCTTCGTCTCCCGGCAACGGACAACAACTTCCGGGGTCAGATGTGCGCTGCTCCGTCTCTGTCGCAGATGTAGAAAATCACCGGGAGCGTTTCTCCCTTCATTAAGGAGCTTCTTTCAGACATGAGGAGAGCTGTTTTGGTGGTAGCAGTCTCTCCTCCGTGCTGGTCTGTTTGCTGCTGGGTGTTTTGGGTTTATTTAAACTTGGTAACTTGAACTTAATGTTGGTAAAGCTACTGTTAGCATCTTCGCTAACAGCTTCTTGCGTTGGGATAAGCTGTTACGTTTTGGTTTAGAGTTCATCTTTTTTGTGGTGTAGATCTCCCTTTTATTACATTTAGAGTGTTGTGGGTTTTCGGTTTAGTTTAAAATGTAAGACCACTCGCCTCACGCACATAAGTGACCAAAACAAAGCAGCATGGAGACACTCCATCTTCTACCACCTCTCAGGCAGCAGCCTGCACTCCCAGGTTCTACACGTCACCAGAAAACCAACACAATAAACGCAGTGTTATACAAAATGGAAGGCCTGTAGTGTTTATTCTCTTACAGTAAGAATTTATCAATTTTTTTGAGGAATTTATTTGAGATTTTCTGGTTTTTGTTAATTGTGCAATAGAAAAATAATCATTAGATTAATTTTCTAAATAGTCATTAGAATAGTCGACTATTCGATAAAATAATCGTCAGAATAATCGTTTTAAAAATAATCGTTTACCCCCAGCCCTACCAAAAATATATTAACCAGTATATAACTGCACTCTCACACAACACGCCTGCAGCAACAGTTAGGACTCCTCCCTCCCTTTTAAAAGCGTTTTTGCTTCTGAGGACATTGTGGTTGTAAAACCACATGCTAGTAGTCTGGCCCCGGTGTGATCAACCAGTTTCTGCGGGAATGTGACGGCGGAACCAGGGCCAGATTAACACTTTGTTGTACCCTGGGCAACAATATTCAAGGGCTCCATCATCACGACCCAAGGATCACCATAATGTGGTCACATACAGAATATTTTACTGTAATATGCAGTAAATATACTCAATACTTGAATGCCTGACAACACGTAACCCGCCCAGAGTAACCTTTGACCCACCTCGTGTGGACTGACCAATGAGGAGAGGGTCTTAACTTGAGGCCCTCTTATCATTGGTCATTCTGCATGAGACTGACTCTCAACTGACGTTCAGTCGTAGGCAGCGAAGCGTCTCTGTGCAGTGCAAAAGCCCGGGTGGACAGTTTGTTTAATGTAGGGTGACCATATTTCCATTTCCAAACAAGAGGACAGGGGATCTGTGCCTATGACGTCACACTATGGCAACGCCACACAAACCATGTTGGGACCCATTTTTTGTAAGAACTAAATTAATATCAGATTCTGCCAATAAAAGGGCTCTAAAACAATTCATATGTAAATATTTTGCATATTTAATGCAAAATCTAATTTTTCTGCTTTAGTGCTGCAACAAGGTTTTATTAATAAGAAATTATTATACCTTTTGTTTTACTACAGCATCGGTAAGCTTCCTGTGCACAGATTATTAAGGATGCTTGTTTCAGCTGTGAGATTAGACGATAGGATCAATGAAAAAATAAGTTGTCACACACTCCATGGAAACTTTCAGAGAATCCACAAATAGTGGCTTTCAAATGGTTTTGTTACTTTTTGCAAGTTTATAAAAGAAGCAGATGAGACAGCATGTCTGATAATTTAGTTTTTCATCTGATAATATTAGAACATGTCAGTAATGTCTGAGGGGCTTTTATAAACACCATATAACTAACACTACTGGAGAGGGCATGAATTACACAGAGGCTTCTGGGGAGCCCAGTTATTGGGGGGGGGGGCATTTTGCCTTGGCCCCCAAAATGTCTTGAAACGGCCCTGGGTGTGACTGAGTTTTGAAGGTGATCTGAATTGTATCAGATGTATAAATATAACATGTGTATAACTTATTGTTTTTTACTGGTAAAAACGTGTAGTGGAGATAAATCTACGTACATTTGACTTTTCAACACTTTGTTTTGTTTTCTTGTTTTTATTTAACTATTTTCCTGTCCTGTCTGTCTCTCATCTTCCTGCATCTCCTCTTAATTCTCCAGAAAATCTGTTGCCTGGATTCTTACCTTTTCACCTCATCAGTTACTTTTGAGCAGATCAAAGGGATCTCCTGACCGAAAAGCGCAGAGCGCGTTTTCGATGCTGCGTGAGGTGAAATCACCACAGCACAGGTGATGAGCTCCGCAGTAGCGAGCTTCAGGCACAAATAAGACAGAAAATAGAGAACATGTGCGGACATGAACGATCGTGTGCTAATTATAGTTTTTTGGTTGCGCCACTTTGAGAATGGACCGTGCGCTGGAAGCAGCTGCCTGGATCACTGTGCAACAATGCGGAACCGGTTCGCAGCAGCGCAAGTCTGCCGGCTCTCCCTCGCACTGATCTGCCGCTACCGGCTCTCCCTCACGCTGATCTGCGGCTCTCTCTCACGCTGATCTGCGGCTCTCCCTCGCGCTGATCTGCGGCTCTCCCTCGCGCTGATCTGACTTGCTCTGGTCTGCGCGCAACGGCGGGCGGGAAGGGGGGGGCGCTTTTGGAAGAGTTGTGCGACACAACGAATCGATGACGCAATTTGTTGCCAACGCTTTTAGTAATCGATTTTCATCGAATTTATCGATTCGTTGTTGCAGCCCTACTGCCGTCTGTAAAAGTCCTGAAAGGGCTGAATTCAACTGGAGATGGAACAGCTGAGAGGACTGGGACATCACATCTCCTGGTCATTTTCCCCCTCCCAGAATTTACCCTGAAGTTCTAACAAAGGAAACACAGCTATTGAGTCATAAATGACGTAATGGTGCAACAGGTAATGAACCAGCGAGACCGGTGTTGTGTCACACAGGGATAGTCAGAAGCAAGAGTCTTTCACTTAGTCCAATACAGCATTTTGCCCTTTGAGAGTTAGTCTGACGTGTTTGTCAGTTATTTAAGCCCTCTATGGGATGATAAACACCTAAAGGAAGCTCTGTCTGCAGTTGATTCATGTTTGGTACCCAACTGTATCTTACCTGGACTGTGATATGAAAGTATCACGATAAATGTTTATTAAAATCAAAAGTAGTGATTAAGTGGAAACCAAAAATTAATGTGTGCCTTTAAATGACTTCACTTTATTCTGACGAAGAACTTCACATTTATTTATTTATAGTTAATGTATGCCTCTGCTATGTTTATACTGACTACTGTGGAAGCAACAGGTCTTAGACGTTTCATTCCTAAATAACTGTTTACAAAAATAACATGTCAACAAGCATTTGGGCATAAAAGCAGTCATTTCACAAGAGAAGCCGTTTTACTTTTTGTTTTTAATTGAAATACTTTATTTGTTTTTATGTGAAGTGCCTCGTGATGTTTTATCTTGAGGGGGGCTATATAAAAGACCGTTTGGTTGTTCAAACCAGAGCAGGTAGGAAGGAAGATTAATGGAGATTCATCAATAATCGTTTTACGTTCGCACTGCGACCCTCTGAACTTTGACTAAATCAAATTATGCCAGGCCTGAAGACCCCCCACCCCTACAGAGGTGGCAAACAACGCAACACCAATAAAAAGCTGAAGCACATAAAAAACAGATCTGTAGGTCCTGACATCCATCAACAGCCCCGTTGACCTCTAGACGTAGCCACGAGCTAACCAGGGCGAGAACAGCTGTCATGCTGAGGCTACGGCTAAGCTGGAACAGGCAGAGCAGTGTAGCTTCAACATGCTGCCCAGCTATCAGATAGCTACATCAGACAGAGGACAGGCTGTCCCCTCCCTCTGGACTTCACATCTGTTAGAAGTGAACAGCGGAGCAGCTAGGTGGCACAGAGAGGGCCGAGGCTCTGGCAAATTTAAACAGACTTCCTTTTGTGAGGATGTTCTTTCTGAGGGGGGTTGTTACCTCGAGTGGTGCTGGCCCGAGTGCCTCGCAGCTCGTTTTACACGTGCTGCTGGGGGACATTTTGCATGCACAGATCCATAAATAGATGAATGATTTTGTCAGGATGTTCCATCACTCCAGCAAAGCTAAAACAAATCCTGGTGAAGTCAGAATTAAGATGACATGCTCGACAAAAACAATTCTGCTGGTCAGAAGACGGGCACTAACAATGTTCACGGACGGTATCTTTACTTCATCAGATACCACTCATCCACCGGAGACAGTTACAGGCCTGACACTTGTACTGCTGTCCCCTTTCTTTCCTTTTTAAGCTAACACTGAACAGGACGTCGTCACAATCGAACAGACAACGAGCAAAATAGCTAAAGAAAACAATAAAAGTCCCAAAAACTAAAGATGAGGCATAAATCCTGGAGAATTATTAATAAGAGCCACAGCAGCACCGTGCTGCAGGTCACACTCCCACTCAGCACGGACCATCAACTGCATGCTCCCTTCAATAATGTCACTGGAAAAACTCATTAGCATGGCGGTAGTCACAGAGACGGTGAACAGTCATGAACCCAGAAGCATGCGACAGTCCAGGGTGATTATGGATTAAATTTAATTACAGAATAACCTGATATAATCTGAACACACAGAAAAAGCTGTGTTCAATCAATCCTCTAGATTACCCCCATCTACTAAAAATGTCCTCTCTGGAGGATTCTAGTGTTTTTATAAACCGTCCACCAATATCGGCATTATGACTTAACGTCAGAAAATATCAGTATCGGTTTTCAGTCTTAGTGACAACATTTACACATCACACAAATCAAACTCTTCAGCTACTTCTCCTTTCTCTCAGAATGTTGAAATATAACTGATCTGAGGTCAAGTTTTTAAGGTATTTTAGTTTGTTTGGCACAACTTGTGAAGTAGAAATTTGACCTGTGTAGTGAACTTACGCTGTCCACACAGCACGTAGCGAGGTGTAGCTAACAGCTAACAAACAACTAAAACAAAAGAATCTCCACCCATAATCGGTAGAAAAACCAATCAAACATCCCTACTTACAACGGCACATCCAAAGCAAACCTGGAAGTACAGATTCTTGGTCTAAATAGTCTAAGCTGTGATCAAAATTCACTGAAACGTTGTCTCAGCTGTCATCAGGAATATAAATATTGCAGATACAAAAGACATCACTGGTGCCTTAGCTCACCCAGTAAGATGGCGGACTCCAGTGTGGAAGACCTGGGTTCGATTCTGGATGTGAACATAATTTATTTAGAGTTTCTTTTTTACATCAATGGTATATTTTTTTACAGTAAGATGCCCAAATTTTTATTTGAGACTCGCTGAACGGCATTGAATTCACAGATAAAACAGATGTGGGCTCAACTTTCATTTTGGAACAAATTTTCAAGCAAGGGAAGGGAATGATCTGAGCATGCAGGAGGACTGACCCATCATAAACCTTTGTCGGCTGTGCTGAAGAGAAAGGTACAGAACCAAATTATTTAATTAATTAGCTGCACGTTCTCCTGTCCTCTGTCCTCTACCCCCCCCACCCCCCCACCCCCCACCCACCCACCCACACACACACACACACACACACACACACTCACACATACGGGACTGTCTCAGCTGTTATTTTCGTTAAGGAGTGTGAACGTACAGCATGCACGCCTCGTGCACGAGCCTACTATTGAAGCTGCCGTTACGCTTTTGGCCTGAGGGGGCAATCGCGAGCATAAAAATTCAAAACTCCGTAAAGTCCCTTTAAACCAAAACAGGTCAAAACATTTTAAGTTGCATTCTTTTTAAAAGGGAATTAAATGTTATCCTTAACACCAGTAACAACATAACATTCCTGACCTCATGCAAGTTCCCAACGTCTGCAGGCCTCTGGTGTTCAGGGCCAAAAACCAACAAGAACTCAAAAACCAACTCTACGCAACACAACAAACTTCTGTTTTATCGTTTAAATGAAACAAAGAAACCTAGTTAACATCTGTATCCACAGATTGTGAAAATAAATTCACCCGTTATCTAGCCGAACTTGTAGGAAGATCAGGTAAAAGTAACGTTATTCTTAAGGCTCGAACCCTGATGGAACATGCTCTCAGAACTATTAACTTTTCATAAACAGTAAACAGTACCGAGTTAAGCCACATTTGTGAGGAAATAAATGATAGGAGCTGCCATTGGTGACATCTGTGTAACAAAAGAACAATACCACAAAAACAGTCTGCTTTCCTTTGAGGGAAGCTTGAATCAAAGAGATTCTGTACTTCTGGCTCAAGAACAGAGCTCTAAAACGACAGAAACACGGGGGAACAACAGAGCAGAGTGAGACGCAGCTCTGAGATCGAAGGAAGTGCTTGGCGTCGGTCAAACTGCTCTGCTCTGCTTAGGCACTTCCTCCGCTAACAAACACTGAGGGGAACAAGCGACAATAACGAACAAGTCAGCTGACCTGGTATGAATGAAAAAGGCACATGATGATTAGAAACCAACACTGCAGGCGGGGAAAAGGCTCCTGGTAAAGTTCAAACAAAGGATTTTGTTTCAAACGATGGCATGAGGTTAGCGTTTTCTACTCAGCAACAGCAGACTTGGAAGTGCAATCAGTGCAAAGGTCAGGAGTGTAAAGCTGATCACGTGCTGCCTTCATGGTTTTTCTGTTGACAAGTTTTTCAAAATTTGTCAGGGTTATTTTTGTCTCCCAGAGGCCCCTCTGCTCGGAACATAAGCACCAGTGTTTACAGGCTGACAGGCAGCCAGCCAGGAGAGACTCTGGTCCACAGGCTCAACCCTCACTGGTCTATTCATTCACACCAGCTGGAAAGCACCTGCGCCCACTCAGGGCATCAAAGATGCTCTCGGGTGCTCATCAACACTGGAGCAGGATTAGATTTGTGTTAAATGCTCATATTCAGTTGAGATTTCAAACAATTTACACTTTGCTGGCAAGAATCATCTCATTAAAGTACTTACTTGTTTTTACCAGAGTGATGTTTGAAAGAGAAGTTAGAGCAGGAGAAGGAAAACTCACCAGCACAGGCACTGAGAAACAGCCAGTCCATTTTCCTCATTCGGTTTCTAATCTGCTTTAGCTTCTTGAAATCCACTTCGTGCTCCTCTTTACTCATGGCTCCAGCTGCAAGCTCGATCCTTTGGAAGTCCATTTTGACATGGTCCTCCCTTGTAGCCACTGGAGGGGATCTCCTTTGGCCCTTGCTTCCACTGCCACTGCCCCTCAATCGAGACACATCCTTATCAATGATCAGGGGAGAAGACTCAGCAGACTCTGGCAGCTCTATCGCTTCCTGGTTGTTAGGTTTGGGGAGGTCACAGACCACACACTTAGTAGTTCTGGGCAAGTTTTGGTAAGTGCATGTTGAACAGGTCCAGTGCTGCTGGTGAGTGTTGAGTCTGTTTCTGTCATTATATTCCTCACATGTGTCCACAGGAGAGTGGACAGTGGGACGGCAGCCTGACGTCTGGGGAGATTCTGTTGGGCTGCTGGTTCTGGGGCGCTGACACAGACACTGTGTGCAACGAATGGCACGCGGCCAGTTGAGATAAGTACACATCTGACAGGACCACTTGTTGGCTATCTCAGCCATACTGGAGGACTTAACTCTGGGTCTGGCACTCGAGTCGGGACAGATGAGGGGACTGCTTCCACTCTCAGTTCTTGGGGGATCCCATTCCAGACTGGGATCCAGATCATGGCTGTTTTTATAAGGCTCCTCCGTGATGATGGGACCCCTCAACCTTGGAGCACGACACATGGTACATTTGACTGCAGATGGCCAGTTCTCATAGGTGCAGTAGTCACAGGCCCACTTCACCCTCTGTTCTGTCATTGTGGGTCACTTTATCTAGTAGAATTAAAAATATAGCACAAAGCTTTATTTACTGTATTTACTCGATTTTCAGTTTGGTTACTAGTGTTTAGTAACATTGATCAACTGAAATTTGATTTAATGTTTTTAATGCTTGTTTAGGTCCAGTGAAACTGATTTGACCCCTAATCTGAAATAATTTGCTGCCTCGGTCAGAAGAAAATTAATCTGTAAAGAAACATGAAGGTCCTTCATTAGTTGGTAACGGGAAATATGTCTCAAATACTTTAGAAAAAAACAACTTACATGAAGGACAAATCTGTTGTGTTTCAGGTAAGGATTAAATCATCTGAGCTCGTGCACCAATAGTTTGCGACAATTACGCTTTTAAAAGACAAAAATAGCACCTTGGGAGTTTCATTTATGTAAAATTAAGCACCAACTGTATATAAACCACATAAACTTGAGACGGTATTGGTTTATAACAGGGATGTTCTATCCTAAGCTTGTTTGCTAGCTAGCAAACTAGCCTAGCTAGCATTAAACTCTCAGCGGGACCTCTTTCAGAAAAAAACAGACACAATTTCTACAATAATGTTGAATACTTGTAGAATATCGTCTAAAATCTTACCGCTGAGTGGCCGTGTTTGAGTATCAAGTGCTGCCGTAAAGCACAACAAACCCTTTTGGTTGTCCAGAGCCCCCCTCTCTCTGCCCACCTCCTCCTCCGGCTCAAGCAAACCTTTCCCAATCCGAATCGTTTGAACTCCTTTCGTTGGTCACATGTTTACCTTCGCAGACACGATAACCTCTTCCTGAATAATGCTCATATTTACAAGTCCTCTAAAGTCTTCAAATCATGGTATAAATCCACAGCTCTCCATGGTTTCCACTGCCACCGTCTAGTTTAATGGCGACGACAGCAACACAAACGAGAAGCAGTGCCAAAATAAACGCTGGCCACCTTTCGTCACCAATCATCTGGGTGAGCGCGTAATCTGATTGGTTAGAAACTGTTCCGTGGTGCCTTTAGAGACCACCGGAATATTCTAAACCATTTTATTTAGGCAACATTCTGTTTTTCTTTAGTTATCCACGTCCCCATCCCCTTTTCTGTTTTTTTTTCTGGAAGTACATTACCCTTTATGTCCAGTTTGTATTATGTAGAAAAAATGTTAACATTCATGTGATTTGAAAGAATATTTTTGAACCCTGACATATCCGAGAATGATTGACTTGAACAACGACGAAACCCCACATATAAAGTTCTTACCTACATCACTGGTCACTATTTGTTTGAACGTCACATTCACTTTGCACCCAGAGCTGTATGGCAAAACATTTTAATATTTAGTAATAGGACAGGTATTTCAGATATCTGTTATTGTGAATCAGAAAAATAATTTTAGTTATTCAAAATCAGAAATTAACGTGGGAATCTGTTTTGTCGTGAGAATGAGTCCCAACGTGTAAAAATGCCATTATGAATAATGTTACAAGAACTTTATCTTGCACTAGTAGTTAGAATAAGGACAAGCAACACCACACAACCAGATATCTACAAGGATTTATTAGTATTTTAAGAATTTAACAGACTGCTATTTTAATATAAAGTAGGTGAAATAAAAAGGATGACAGTAGTCATACGACAGGGTATTAGGGTCAGTGAAAAAAGAGCAAATTAAGGGTGAAAGTGTCAAAATTAAATGTCGAAAAGTCAAGAAAAACATTTTAAATGTTATTTTTGTTAAACAGGTGTAACTAAGTTTCAAGGAAAAACTCATAAGTGGTAAATTAACTTATTTCTAGATTTGAGTTTAAAAAAGGGGACAGCAGTATGTATTGAATCTTAATAGAAAATACTTTTTTATCCCCATTTTAGTTCTTTGAACTAATTTCCATATAAAGTCTGATTTCACAACCAGTCTTAAAAAAAGTGAACTCCACTTTTCTCAAGAAGCATTTATTGTAACCAAATGTTTACTGAGTAAACGATTAGAAAAAACAAGGAATTTTATTGAATTTGAGGCATTTTATCTAATAGATAATTCTGCAGCAGCATCCTCAAGTCCTTCAAAATAGAAATCTCAAATACACACTTTGACCCCGTTTCCAATTATCTCTTATGATCGCTTATTCTCCTTATCTCCTGTAGCAATGACCTTTTGTGGCTTCCCCTCCTAGGGTAAGTCTACCCCACGTCTTTTTGGGAACTGCATTTATTTCAATGCCAGCCAGCTTGGCTGTGTGGTCATTAAAATTCATTCATTCATTCATTCATTCATTCATTCATTCATAGTGAACAACGTCCATGACCGTCTTATGGACATGTGTCTTTTCCGCAGTCTTTACCATAATTGTATCTTTTTGACCCAGACTGAGACCATTTCGAGGCTCAGGAATCCTTTGCAGGTGTTTATAGTTAATTACCTGATTAGGGTCTGGCAGCATGAATAGAATAGAATAGATTAATCCCACAAAGGGGAAATTCGCTCATTGGCATATACACTTAGAGAAAAGGAAGAAGAAAAATTAATAAAGGTACAGATAAATACACATAGATAGTAATCTATTATTGTAACCTTCCAACCAATAAAAACAACAAAATTGGGTTACCAAAAATATACAGCATAAGGGACACAGACATACTGATGAACATCTGGTATTGCACAAGTATTGAACACGTACTGAATATTGCATTGAGGTTAGCGTGCAGAAGGATAATGTTGTTAATATTTATACTGTGGAGATGTTTTTTCATCTCTTTTTTATTTTCATTTATTGACATTAAAATAAAAATACAGAACTGAACTGCAACAAGCCAAAATGAAAAAGGGGACAGAAAGAAGAAAAACTTATGTTATCTGCCCCATGGATGTATACTCTTACTGCAGTGGAAAGTTTTAAGTATTCAAGGTTTTCCATAATATTTAATTTTCTGACACTAAATTTATGTGTTTTATGATCTATAGCTACAATCATAAAAGTTACAATTAATAGAAGCGTGAAACATGTAACTTTTTTACTTGTGATTAACATCTGATAACAAGGTTTTATGCGGTTCCCTTTGGAAAGTCAAAGGATTAAAATTTAACAGCAGTATTTTGGGTTATTTAGGCTATCATAAGAGTAAAAAATGGAAGGTCCATTATTCAAAGTCATATTTTCACCATGTTATTCATACATTTATAATTGTATTATTTCCCAACTAAATATTTAGTTAGCAAGCTAAATATTTCATTCTGAGTTACAAATTGACTTTACAAACCAAATATTTAGGTCTGGCCAAAATATTTAGTTTTGTTTTTTTTTGTTTACATATAAATAAATTACTAACTAAACATTTAATATGGAGCTGAACATTTAGTTATTTAAAGTTTGTAAAATAAATATGTTATGACTGTTTGGTTTAGAAATGGCACCCCATAGAGCTTTACTTTCCGAAATGAGGAACAGAATATATAACTTTTCTTATTATTTCTGAGCTTGTTGCTTGTTGCAGCGTCTTCTGCCGTGACGTCACACGTAAAACATGGCAGTTCCCTTGCACCGGTTACACCACGTTTCTCTCCACGTTTCCAATGGGCAGAAACTAGCGTTGGACCTCGTCTCCAAGTTTGGGTTTAACGTGTTTGCCAGCACGCTGACCGGTGAGTCCAGACAGGTGGCTTTCAGGAAGGGAGCGGTGGTTTTCGTGGTGAATGAAGGACCCCCCCTGGGCACGGTGGGGCTGAATGAAGGGCAACATGTCATCCACAGACACGCTACTGCCTCACACCGAGTGGACATAAACAAGGAGCGTAAGTCCACTTCGTGTCTTTACGACGTGCAGCCGCATCACCCGGTGGACTCTGTCGCTAACGTGTGCTTCGAGGTGGAGGATGTGGAGAGGTCGTTCAAGGTGCTCCGCCATCTGGGCTGCGACTTCCTGGTTCCTCCCACCTCGGTGGAGGACCAGAACGGGCTAGTCACCTACTCGGTGGTCAAATCCATTGTGGGAAACGTGTGCCACACTCTGATCGACAAGTCTAAATATGGAGGGGTGTTTCTGCCCGGGTTCAAAGTCGCTGAAAAGCACTGGGATTTGGAAAAGGAGGACCCGACTTGTCCGGTCACACATCTTGACCACATCACCTACGCCTGCCCCAGGAAGTCCACCCAGCAGGTCATGCAGTGGTACGAGAAGCTCTTTGGTTTACAGCGGTTCTTCATTGACAGGTAAGACGCTGTTAATTTAAATCAATGGTGTCCACTCATTGATTTAACCCTTGGTTGGTGTTTATAGAAATGAAGATGTGGATGAAGGTTTTGTAGTGAACCAGGAGGGCGTTGGATTACGACTAACCGCCATGCAGTATAGGAAATGCAGCAAAGCGGGCATCACTCTACCGTTTGCAGACAAGACGGAGCCTGACTGCAAGTTTGTCATTGCAGAGTCACTACCTCACCAGGGTAACCTCTACATACTTCACATAACAAACTGTTCTAAGCTGTTTTTACTAGTTATAATCAGGTGAATGTTTTCTGATTTTAGGTCGCAACCAGGTCGACACCTTCTTGGAGCAGCATGGATCCGCAGGGATTCAACACATCGGCCTGTACACTAAAAACATAGTCTCTACTGCTAATGCTCTGGCAGAAGCTGGTGTCCAGTTTTTCTCCCCTCCTCCTGCTTACTACACAGAGGTTGGAGCCGAATTACCATTAAACAGTTTAAAATCCAATAAGTGTAGTTCAGCAGGGGCAAGGATGTATGTGATCATATGAAATGGGACCAGAGCTAGTATGATCTCTTGTCTTTTCAAGGTTATGACACCACCAGTCGCAACAAAGACAGACCTTCATGCACCAGCCTTAAGTCTAACAAACCTTTGATTCGAAAACACAGCAGTTTACAATAGTTTTAATCTTTTTTCAGTTTGAGTATGACGTTAACCAGAACTTATTGCCTCCTGAAAGTCTTTCTCCTGGGAGTTTTTGCCACTTTTCCATCACTTCCTGTGTTTAACATGAGGCTTTCTGGTTTCTCAAAGGAATCGGATCAGAATTCTTCATTGTTCAGTTTAAAACGGTCCACGTTTTCCTCAGATGTGCTTTTGTTTTTGGTGGCAAATGCAACAGTTTCACCACATGCTGTTTTCTAGAACAGGGTAAACCGTTTAACAGTGAAAAGCCATATCTGGGCATTTTTCATACATAATTTAAACTCATTTCATTTCATGCCATTTTCAGCCCCACAGCATTAAAAACACTGTTTCTGTTTCTTCATGCTTCTTATTTAATCACACCCAAACAGCTCCACTTTGTTGATGGTACACTTAACAGTTTAAACAATAAAGTTTTGTGACATGTTCTTTAACATCATAATGGCAATGGAGCCTCGTGCTGTTTGGTGAACCAAGAGCACCCTTCAGTTTCCTTCAGGACACTCACTTTGTGTTTTCCACTGTCATATCTTCAAACAGGAAAGAATCAGAACACAGTTTTGGGCATAAAAATACTTTATTTGTAAGGTTTAGCACAAAATGTCAGCGAATTGGACCATTCTCTGGAAACCACTATGGTTTACAGCTGATTTACTCTCACTATGCATTGTGGCAGGTGGGGAAGCAGCAGGAAATAGAAGAAGCGGGACATGACCCCCAGGTGTTGTCGCAGCATGGCATTCTTCTGGATACAGACCTGCATCAGGACCACTCATCGCTGAGAGAACGCAACAAAAACAAAAGGTGAGGTGATCAGAAGTTGGAGTCTCTCTCTTTTCTTTATGAAGTAGTTCAGAACGTTTGGAGGGTATTTCCATGGAAACGTTGTTAACAACTCATATATTACCTGTCAATAACTCTTTGAAAAGCCTGAGTTTAGAGGAACAGAGATTAAACTGATGGCTACAGCTAGTCTGAGTGGGGCAAATGTAAAAGTGTACTGCTGTTTAATTATTTATGTATCTTATGCACAAATGTATATACTTTTCTGACATCCAGGACAGACTACAAAGTAAGAATTTCATTGTGCAGGGACATCTACATTTATACTGTGCATATGGCAATAAAGCTTTGATTTGATTTGCTAAAACAACCTGGGATTGTAAAATAATATAGTAAGTCATGCTAATTCTGTCTAGTGTATCTTTTCACTGCTTTTATGTGAGCTGTTTTGGCCATTTTGTGAACAGAAATGTTTAAGAATGACAGAAATGGAGGTCTGGAGGTTTTTTCCTGTTAAAGGGGAGTTTTCCTCTCCATTGTCACTACATACTTGCTTAAAGTCACTGACGCCACAAGTCAGTGACTCAATAAAATCTGCTGGGTTTCCTTAAATAGGAAACTTTTACCTGCATAATAACTGAACTCAATTGGAATGTTTTACTTTGTGAAGTGCCCTGAGATGACTCTTGTTGTGATTTGGTGTTTTGTAAATGAACTAAATTGAGATGCTTTGTGTAACTGGTTCCAATGAAATTAGTTGTCAATTCAGCTAGAGCTCATCTCTGTTTCTCCAAACCGAGGCTGTTCAAAGAACTACAGTATAAACAGTTTTAAGATGTAAATTGTTCATTACAGCTCCACAGAAACCCATTTTAAAGAGCAAGTCACCCCCTACCAGATTTTTACTCCACTCCAATTTCCTGATTAAAAAAATGCACCACAAGAAGGAGAAGAAGGAGGAAAGATCTTTTCTATAGCGCCTCTCAAGATTAAAATCACGAGGCGCTTCACAAAAACAAAAAATTTAAAATATAAAACAGAATTTAGAAAATGATTAAAAAATATATTTAAAATGAGCAAAAAATAGACAATTGTGATTAAAAATGTAAAGAAAGAGAGAGAGTGAAAAGGAAAGAGGGAAATCAGTGGATCCTGAGGAAGGTGGAATAGGTAGGGAGAGCAGAACAAGGAGAGGGTAATGAAGGTCACACCAAACCAGCCTGAACAGGTGAGTTTTCAGCTGCTTTTTAAAGGAGTTCACGGAGTCCACTGATCTCAGGCTCAGGGGGAGAGAGTTCCAGAGTCTGGGGGCCACAGCAGCAAATAATCTGTCACCTTTGGTCTTTAGCCTGGTGCTGCACAACCAGTAGGCTTTGATCACTGGACCTTGGGGATCTGCTGGGGGTGTAGGGACTAAGAAGATCACCAATTTAAGATGGTGCTTGTCCATGTAAGGCCCTATAGACCAGAACCAGGATCTTGAAATGAACCCTGAAGTTGACTGGCAGCCAGTAAAGCTGGAGGAGAGCGGGGTGATGTGGGTGTGTTTGGAGGACTTGGTCAGAAGCCGAGCACAGGCATTCTGAACCACCTGTAGACGGTTCAGGGAGGTTCTGCTCAGACACGTGAAAAGAGAGTTACAGTAGTCTAAGTGTGAGGAGATGAAGGTGTGGAGAACTGTCTCAAGTTCAGAGCGAGACAGAATGGGACTCAGCTTAGCAATGTTCCTGAGATGGAAGAAGGAAGAGCGAACAAGAGAACTGACATGAGAATCCAGGGTGAGAGCTGGGTCAAAGTTCACACCAAGATTCCTGACGGAGGGTTTGGTGTGAGAAGCAAGCTGACCAAGAGAGTCTCTGACTTTGGGAACCATCTTGTCTGGGTCACAGATGAGGATCTCAGTCTTATCTTCATTCAGCTGTAGAAAGCTCCCAGCCATCCAGGTTTTAATAGAGTCTAAGCAGGTGTGTAACAGCTGCAGCTTAGACATCTCATGGGGCTTAAAGGAGATGTACAGCAGGATGTCATCTGCATAAAGATGGTAGGAGATTCCTTTGAAGGAGCTCAGGATGTGCTGAAGAGGAAGCAGATAGAGGAGGAAGAGCAGAGGTCCCAGCACCGAACCTTGTGGGACACCATGGGTAAGGGAGGTGGTGGAGTACCTAAACTTGGAGACGGCCACAGAAAAGGAGCACTCAGAGAGATAAGAGGAGAACCACTCCAGAGCAGATCCTGATAGACCTACCCAGTCTCTCAGCCTCTCCAGTAGCAGGTGATGGTCAACAGTGTCAAAGGCTGCAAAGAGGTGTTGCCTGGTAGACTGAGAGGGCGGAGCTGCTAACAAATACACACACAGGCTTACAATGATGTGACATCATATGGTAGCAGCTAACATTATAGTGTACCTCTTAGCCAATAGCAATGGCAGATTTAAATTCAAATCCAGTGCAGTTTTACCTGAAGAGGGTGCAACACTGAAAGATTTAGGCAGAATATTTAAATTTTAACGAAGATGCACTAAAGTGCCAAATTATTGACTACATGTGTCTTCAGCACGAGTAGACACTCATGTATAGTTTATTAGCAAGAAAAGTTGATTTGGGGGTGACTTGCTCTTAAAATATACTAACTATCCCTTTAAGCATAATTGCCATTCAGAGTTCATTTTTTTCTCACTTCATTTTTCCTGTTTGTCTTTTTATTTTTATCTTTTTTTAAGAAAAAAAATTCAGCCTATCAATACGAATGTTTAACCTCATTTCTTTGTTGAATCAACAGACAGGTCACATTTCAAAATAAATGCTTTGGCAAACAGACGTTAGAGGCTGGAGTGTTCTGTTGTGTTCACAGGTATCTACTCCAGGTGTTTACCAAGCCCATATTTGCTGAGGACACCTTCTTCCTGGAGCTGATAGAGCGAAGAGGAGCGGCAGGTTTTGGAGAGGGGAACATCCGGGCGCTGTGGAGGTCTGTGCAGGCGTACATGGAGAACGAAAGGAGGGATTCCCACACAGACGGATCTGACAAATCTGTGCAGTCTGCTCAATAACAGCCACTCCAAACTATTACTTTGGTTTAATTTATTGCAGATATGTGTACATAACTGTTATTGCAAACTATAAGTTAATGTAAAAATAAACACAGATTTACTTGTTGCACTATTCTTAATGTAAAATTGGCTGTAGACTGATTTAAAAGGTGCTACGCAACAGATGTTTAAGACAATCTTGGAAAATGTTACAATAAAAACTGACTGGTGCTGTTAAAAGTGAAGCAAATGACTTGAAAACAACTGTTACCCAGTAAATCTGCTTTACACGCTCTGTGTGAGTCAAACATTTATAGAAAAACGTCTGAAATTGTTTTACTTTTTTACATAAACTAACTCTGAGCTCATTTGTTTAACTGCGTGCAAACAAAGCTTATCCACACCTGATTCTGTCATTTCTTTGTTACAATTTGAACAAAAACTTGTCAGAAAAAGCTAACCACTCATGCATTTACTGGGATAATGAACTGGTAACTAGTAGACAGGTCTATAATAATAGCTGATAATTTCCTGTTTCAAGTGATTTTAAAACACTTGCACTGATCTAAGATGCTCACTGTTTCCTGATCGCTCCTCCAGACGCTCTCAGATGAGCCGTTACCAGACAAACAGCTGCTCTTCTTTCAAGGAGTTTTTTTTTAATCTGCACAGTTAGGCAGTGACTTGGCTTTACAGCCCACAGATATGAGCCAAATCAATTAAGTCAGCTTTAAACATTATGGGCGAGGATTAGCTGGCTAGATGAAAAGTAATGAAACTTTGACAGGAGCTCCATAAAAGCCATATGTTCGTGTTTTATGTGCTGATCGTAAGTTACAGTACCCCACTGAGCAACAGGGCTATTTCAGGGACAAACATTGAATCGACTGTCTTAAACTCGTGTACATCTACACATTTTTAATGCACTGAATGTTTCTTTTTCCTCACAGATTATTTCAATTTATTTGTGCTCAAATTTGAGGAAAATGAAAATTATTTTCTTTTAAAACTGCATCAAAACTAGGTTTTACATGTGATTTAAGAAACATTAGTAACAGAGGGGATAAACAGTTCATTAAAGTTCAGTAGGGATGGCTTTTGTAACAGGAGTATTTCAGCCATCTGTCTCCAACTGCAGATGGTCCTCGGCATCTTGCACAAGGCCTCTGCAAGATGACTTGCTAGTTTACTGTCAACCATGTGCAAGCTGCAGATGAAACATCACTAAACTAAATAAGCGTGGTTATTCTTTACATTTACAATCTACTCTTGAAACAAGTCTGGTGGATACTGCCCCCTATGGTTTTTAGAATGACTACACACTGTGCAACATGAGCAGACACTGCAGTGATGCCTCCTGAAGAGTCATCTGTGACTTTTAAGAATGCAAAACACAAAATATAAAGCCTCCTGTATCGTGCATTCTGCACAATTTTACTATAAAAAGTCCATCCTATTCCACTACCTATAGGGATTTTAGTGGAAACAACTAGTTACCCTGTGAAGCTGTGTCTAAGCAGTATTGATAAACCCTGGATTCCCCTAAACACACACACACACACACAACACAGAATAAAACCGAGCATAATCTGAGAAAGATTAGAAGAACACAACAGATGTTACTCCTTGATTAACAATATAGTGTCTGCCAGGGGTGAGTCTAGAGCGTCCCGCCCTAATGAGGCCCACTGTGGTTACTTCTATCTCCCAAAAATGCAAATTTACCGTAAAAGACGTGCAACAATTTGATTTCACTTGGCCTTCACTTAAAAACCAGAACATGGTCATTATCATTCTTGCAATCAAGAACACCATAAGATATAGAGAGTAAAGGAAGCTAGGTGCACGTGAGTTGCATTCAAGGGGATTTAGTTTCTTAGTGTGTGATATTTATAAAGTTAGACTATCTTTGCTTAATGAAAGTTGCAGTTGCCTTCGTAAATAGCGTAACACTATTTCTGCTTGTATAAGTAAATAACTAAACCCGTATGGTTAAATGGTGGAATATTTATGCTGGTGTAACATTTAATCAAGAGTTGAGTTCATGGAAGCACATTTGTTCCTAATGAATTAATTATTTAACATAAAATAAAAAATATAATCAGAACTATAGTTGCGATTATTTTAATAACAGATTTACTCACTGGACATGTAAGTCACATACATTTAGTTTCCTAAATACACTCCTGTGCATAGTGGAAGTGTTTAGTGTTTATGCACAAGTCCTAAACTGATTACTTTTCATTCCCTCGGGCTGGGCTGAACCACTTGTTAAACACGCGGGGGTGGTTTATTTAAAACACGTACTGAAGACAGAAATATCCTCTTTTTTATTTTAAAACTTAATTATCTCAATGTAAAACTTTCAAAACATTAAGTTAATGCAGCTGGTGTTAAATAAGATATTAGATCATGTAAATAAAACTCACTAGAACACCCCCTTCCCTGTTCAAGTGGTACGGTCCGTGTAAGTTGTCACGGGCTCATTAGCGTGTAGTTCTGTCGAACACTGGAGTACTGGGGCAATGTTGTAGTTTGTAGGAGGGCTGAAAGTGAGCTGCACGCTTTGCTCCCGTCCCTGTTGTGTTTTATGCTAAAACAAACCAGATCATGATCCACAGAGGCTAACCAGCCGCTCTGAAAGCCCTGGGAAACCCGAGGAGCTCACCGGAATGTTTGTAAGTAGTTGTTTTTGGTCCAATAACCAGATTCTTGTATTGAAAAGTTAATGTAGCATCAATAAACACCTCACAAATAATTATGTCTGCTGCTTCCTTGGGTTTTAAACCTGTTTTTAACGCACAAAGAGGCATGTTAATGACGTTAAATCTAAATAAGAGTGGTATTAAAATAGAGGTCCCCGAGGAGTCATAACACAACTCCAGTGGGGCAGCTTAGCAACTTTTCCTCATGTGAACAAATGCTGCCCCTTTTGTTTGTAACAACTCTCGCACGAATGACTCTAGATTTATATATAACATCCCTGTATAATTCACAGTTTAACCATCTTTGTAAATGGCTAATGTCTCACGTGCTTTAAGATAGCCAGATGAGCTGAACAACCTCCGTTTAGAGAAACAGAGATTGACGTGGCAGCGGTTTATGCTAACAGTATTTCATAAACTTTTATAGTCCCATACTTATTTTCACTTTATTCTCTAGTTATTTATGTCAGAAATGAATGAAAGGTGTGTAACACAACCAATCTGCGCTACTTATTTCTGCTACAACTATTATACAATGTGGAATCTAAAGCAGTTCCTAGGTTTAAAATGGTGTAACATTTTCTTTTTTTTTTTTTTTTTTTGATTATGGGTGTTTTAAACTGATAGACAAACACCAGTGGAATCTGCTCAGAACTAAACTTTCTTTCTTCAAACCGAAGTCATTCCGAGAGCTATCTATAACTGGAAAGATGTTGATTTTACTATAACTTTAACCGGGACACATGCTTCAAATGATCTGAAATGTCAATTTAAAACACATTAAGTGCCCAGAAATTGCATCACATTCACTATAGTCAACTGTTTTATTTTGAAGGGCCAGCTTTTATCTTGGAAAGTTTGTTAAAATGTTTGATGGCACATATATGAGTTTAACAGCCCCTGAATGCTGACACTACATAATTTATTAGGCCTGCCATTGCTGTCTCAGTGGAACAACGACTGTTCATCTCTATCAACCTTCCTGTCAGGTGTGAATTCAGGGCAGGCTGACACACAGAGACGTGCTTACAGAGGCCATAAATAAAAACATCCATAAAGCTGAATTCCTCTGTGACTTTTGGCTGTGGTTAAAGGTTCATATCTGTCTTGAAGAGTCATGCAGCCAAATTAGGAAAGATTTTATTAAATGGCAGACATGTCATTTAAATTATTTGAAGTTGATCCCCTTCAGTCAAGTTCAGAACTCTCTCTGGGTGTTTAACATAACGTGTGTTCTGGACACACCGGTTCCTTTGCCAAACTCATTTCCCTTTCATGAGGGATTTTAGAAAATGGGTTTAAGGGACTGTTTGTGCTGATCTCTAGGACAAGCTCAGTTTTCAGGGCCTTTTTCTTTGTGAAACTGAGAGCCATCCACCTGGAGGGCTGGCGGCTTGCATTTAAAACCGTTTCAGCCCAAGTACAGGAGAGGCTGCCTATCGGGGCATGCAGACGATTCCTCTTCCCTTTTCCTCTCCATAAACCGAACATGTTAGGAGGTTTTGCGTTGTATTACCACTGTTACATGGAAAAACATCACTGTTTTCTTTGTATTCTGAGGTAAAGCTCTAAGCACATTTGTATAACCAAGGAGTGTTCTCGCCTCCATTCTGAAATGTCTTCTAGATCTGACCTATTGTTCTTTTGGTCCATCAGCATGCTAGGTTACTACTCTGTGGCTGTTGTGTCTTCAGCCTTGTGTAATTAAGGGTCTTTGCTAGATTTAGTATTCAAGTGGACAGCATTTCTGTCCAACTTGGACAGGATTGCTGAAAGCCTTGATTACCAAGCTCAACAAAGCTCTTGTTCTGGACAAATGTATACAGTGCAAGTGATTATGTATGAGATAATTAAGCAGCAGGCCTGCTTTAACGCTAGGCCTCCCTGGCTTCCATACATCGCCATGCTGAGCCTTTGTGTTTATGGTAAGTGGGCAGCTGCATGCCTGTGAGACCTTGGCTGTACCCCAGGCCCTCAAACTGAGCCTGATAACGACTATTGAAGCCTCCCAGCCATGCTCATTTCTGACTATTCACTCACTGCTTTAAACGTGGAGCGAGCCTCCCGTCTGACTTGGTTTAATTTCTGTGAACATGCGGACAGCTGTGGGCTTGCCAGCTCCCTTCAATGAGTTTCATAAAATTCTTTTCAGTCGCTCAGCCTCAACAGTACTTGGTACCACCTGCTGCCTGTGGGTCCCACATAATGGCACCAACAAAGAAAGTTTCTAAAACTTGGTGTTTTTACTATGAAGTACAGTGCTGTAGAAAAAAGAAGCACTTGTTGGAGACGGTCCTCCATTAATGGGTAGACCTTCCTGATTGCAAAAAATATATATCGGCACAGGGATTGAAGCTTTTTAGGAGTCTTTCTTCAACGCCTTCACCCAGCATTCCTTATGTGAAAGATGTGGTAATGAAGAACAACACAAACCCCTCGGTTTGTTTTCAAGTCTCAGGTGCAGAGCAGATGCTTCTATTATGGAGACAGAGGGACGCAATCCTGGGAGTGTTAAGATCAGGACACGAGGCCGGCTGCCCTCCTTTCTAGAATTTTAAACGAGGACATCTGAAAATTCATGGCAGAACTTTTTTCTGTGAAGTTTTAGTTCATGCAGACGACATGTTGTAGCACAATTAACACTCGTGTTTATTGTAAAACTAAATGTTAAAGTAGGCTATACAAGGTAAAGCAATCATATGAAACTTGTTTCCACCAGCTGTCCCTAAGTGCTATAAAACAGATTAGTATTAGCTTTAATTGTCAGTCAGACACAAAGCTGCCAAATCCTTACGTAATGGTGGCCTAACCCACAGGATTACAGTCTGAGCAATGTATGGAAAAGCTGCTGAAATTAGAAGACCGTTTTGAGCATCAATCGTGGTTCTGTTACCTTTTTGGGATGTCTGCACTCTTTCATCACTTGAGTACAGAACTAAATGACTCTCAAAGGGGCACAGCTGTGTCACGTATATAAAACGGCTCATTAGGGTCTGTGTATGTTAGCTGAGTTAGTGACAGAGCAGACCCGTACCCTGACTTGACCAAACAGACGCCACGGTTTCCTCCTCGCATTCTATCTTCGTTGTGCAGCCTGATCTTTTGATGTTTCTGGCAAACCAAAACGACGACGAGTGCAAAGTGTTCAGTGACCACAAAGGAAGCTCATCAGCTCATCCAGGGCTGCACCATCACCATCGTCTAAGACGGATGCCAGCGTGCACTTTGCTGTTTACATGTGATGTGAAGCCACGTCTGAGTGAAATGTTCTTCTGAGAGATTAGAGGTCTCGGTTGTCATGGCGGCTGCTGCCTCAGCTCAGATAAAGGCCTATCGGCCTCCAGAAGCAAAGACTCCCCACGATTCCTGATAATAGCAGCATGGTTTTGGAGCTGATCTGGGTTTGGACCTCAGAGGAGGAGTGGTACCCTTCAGCCAGAAATTCTAGACGCCTAATTTGGCAGATTTTTGCTGGTTTTGCTCGACACAGCTGTGCATGCGGTTCAAGGTAAGTTGTTTGGGTGTAGCCGTTGAACTCTGCCAATCCAGCTACGGCATGCTTCCTTCCTTTGCTTTCCAGTTCTATCCATCCAAGAAAAAGCAGACTTCCCCTTTCCAGGAGTCTTAATCTTGTTTTTATTCAAAAACTGACACGTTTGAGACGTTTTCCAAAGCTGCAGGGCTAGGCTAGGCATCTAAAACTGCTCAGCTTGTGTCATGGTGCCGAGGAATGTTTATAATTATGTTATAAACCTCTCCCATTTAAAGGACTGGGTTTATATTTATGGAATGAAAAGCCAGAGCATGAGAAATTAAAATGTTGCAGTTTCCTTCAACACAATACAACGTTGTTTACGAGAGATGTTTTACTGTTTCCAGAGGGAAGAGAAGCTGATGTTTGTTTTGTTTGAGTAAACTTCAGGTTTCTTCTTCTATAAGCTGACTGAATGATAAACAAACAACTACTTCCTCTAGCCAGCATATCCAACGTTATCTCAGATCTGTGTGGCTGGTGTTCATGCACATTATGATCCGTCCTGACGTCGTCCGGCCTCCAGCTCTGTTGTTTTCCTACTCAAGACCTTCATGAGTGGTGTTACTTTTGAAGGAAAGTTGTTTTATTGTGTGATGTGTGTTAAAGAAAATCATACGCTGAATTCATACACCACCTCCGGCTTGCCCGCTCCTGCACACAACACCCACAGCTTCTGATATGTCCTCTTTTATTTCCCACGGTGTCTCGTCTGCTGCACAAACTGCTCTTTTGTTTCAAGCTCACCCTCTCTCTTCTGCCCGCAGTTGTTGCCACTTAAACGCTCCCACCTCCTGACCTTGAGGGCATCATACGACCATCTCGTGTCCACTTTGTTTGGTTCCTCCACCTGACGCGACCTTAAGCGTAAACAATCCCGTGACAGCAAGATTGTATAGATTTACATCTGAGGCGGGCAGACGGGCGGTTTTACTGTAATCATGGTGCAGCATTAATGTGAAGAGTGTTGTTTTGATAACCGCAAGGTCAGCTATTCTCAGCCAGCCCCTGAGGAGTCAATTACACAACTTTGACTTTGCTCCACCACTCTGTGTGACCCAGAGAGGAACACTTTTAAGAAGACGAACTCTGTCTTTTCACAGGCAAGAATTAAACAAAGTGTCGAGTTCCACTTTTGGATGTGAGAAGTGTCATTTTAGAGTAGAGGCCAAAATAAGTAATGCAATGTGAGTGCTGTTTCTTCACTGTTGAATTAGTAGAAAAAGAGATGATCTGCCTCTTATCTCCTTTAAATATTCATTAGTTTTAACATTTGAACGGGATAAATACGAAGATGCTACAGGAACAGAATCTGTGTGTGAGACAGAGATTAGGTATTTGAGTATTAATTATTCATCTGTATGCATGAAAGGCACATCTGAAAGGTTAGAAGTGTCTTTGTGAAGGAAGGCGGAGGTCGTTAATATGGATTCACAGCAGCTGCAGTCAGCTTTAATGGCAATTCCAAGTTGTATCAAGAACAGTTTATGCCTGAAATGTGCTTCTGTTCTGTTCTGATGAATTTGATCATTTTCTTCTTTCTTTCTTGTTTTATATTTACATGTGAACCAGTTCTGGTGTTGTGGGCTGATACTGAGCTCTGACCTGATTGGCAAAGAATATTTTTTTATTGAATTTGTGATTTTAAAAAAATGTATGTCCTGTTGCTAGAGAGAATTGGTGTTTTGTTACCAGGAAAATATGCCAGAATGAAAAAAAAGTTTCAGATTGACTCGGCTGAATTTTTGTGGTGCATGTTTATTGATCATTTAGGTACAATTGCATAATCGGTAGATAATGGTCCTCAAAAGGCTTTTGCTGATGGGCATTTGTAATAAGAGGGTGTACTGGCAGGAATCTGGCGCTATGATATATATCACAATTTATACCATATAATATATTTCGATTAAGAGTTAGATATTGGTTTTTCTATTACTGATACCGATGTGTAGAGATCACGGTCAGCCGATCGCCGTTATGTGCTGCTGATATTTGGGTCGATTTTCATTGCTGATATCTAAACGTTTTCCACCTTATTTTAATGCTAAAATGTCACTAATAACATCATTGGTGCACAAAATTTCAGAAGCTGAATCAGTTTTTGAACACTGAATTGAACTAACTGTTTAATCATAATTTTGTGCACTACTCAGTGTTGAAGTCAGACACCCTTACAAAGTTAATCAATTAACTGACCAAGTATTAAATATTTAAAACGGGTTAATTAAAATTAATTTTAGTTGAAAATGTATTTTAGAGTGCTTTTTACACAGATGTTACAGGCTCAACACATGGGAGGCGACATCGCCTCTCCATTCATTTTCAATGAGACGTATGTGACAAAGCGATAATCACGGGTCTCCCTCCTGCTGAGCAACACGCGAAAAACGTCCATGTGAAATTATGCGCTCATGCATGTGTCGTGCACATGCAAGCCAGCGAATTTCAACTTTTTGTCGCTGTCGCTCAGACAAGCACTAATCAGCGGTGGTTTATTGACTGACCAATGAGAGTACAGGATGCCTCGGTACATCTCCAGACAAACACAAAGGAAATGATAATACTTGCCATGTCAGATTTCCCAGAGCTTTACATTTCTACAAAAGAATATAGAGATCTTCACAAAAAGGCATCAGCATGGGAGGTTGTCAGTGAGCTGGTTGTTGTTGTGGTCTCATATTCACCATTTCTTTTTCTGTTTGTAATATGGGATGAACCCATTCACATATTTTTCTTTTTATATAGTCAATTCGGAAGTACAACTTCACTTAACTCTAGCATAACCTTGAGACTTCATATCTACCACATTTTCAGCTCTGAACTGCTTTAATTACCCAAAATATCCTCCAATCTGACGGCCAGTCAAACAACGGAAGACTTGCCCTGGAACGGAGTGCGTCGCTGGCTTTTATCGCTGCCACATGTGGCCTCTCTGTGTCAGGTTATCAAAGTGACAGTGAAAAGTTTAGTTGATCGCAGTCATTTGTTGCCTTCCGCGTGTCGAGCCCATTATTCATGAACGTAAATATACGTTTTTATTAAATTCTGCAGCAGCGCCGGGTTGCCCGGGGATGTAAATTATCTTTATTAAAGAGGTATATAACTTGATGCCTATATATAAAAAATTGAAAATATTGTCCTGATATATCGGCTGACCGATACATTGGCCTGTCTATAATTTTGATACTAGTAAGAGCCAGACAATTACAATTTTTTACACTGAGTTAAACTGAAAAACTCAGGTCAGACGCCTCCAAGGCACATCCAGTGTTATCAGGAAATCTTGTTCTTCCATCAGAACAAAGGCAGTATAAACTGCTGTCACCTAGCAGTTGGGAGTCTAAATTGCACCACACAAAATAAATCCTGTAAATGTCTGCCTGTAGATTCGCAATTAAAAGCCGATACGCTGCTTTTAAATATCGATTCGGTATGATAACGCAAAATATTGCAATATTTCAGTATCTATATCTTCTACTTTACTTACATTTCAAGGAAACGTAGAAAATGATCATTTAATTGACAAAATAAGTATAGGAGCATTAGAAAATCAGCTGGTGATTAGAGTTTATGTTTATTAATTTGGCAGATGCTTTTATCCAAAGCGACTTACAATTTATAACCTATAGGGCATGTTGTGATCTGTGGGGGAAACCGGAGTACCCGGAGGAAACCCACGCATGCATGGGGAGAACACGCAACTCCACGCAGAAAGGCAGCAGCCAAGCCCAGTGTCGAACCTGAAACCTTCGTGCTGCGAGGCAACAGTGCTAACCACTGCGCCACCATGCAGCACCATGCAGAATTTGCCAATGTGTTTATGTTTATTTATTTAGGAGACACTTTTATCCAAAGCAACTTCTAGTTGTGGATATAGCAATGCAGTTGTTTCACCTAACATTTATGTTTTTGGTCTCCCACGGCGTAGAGCAGCAGTAGCAGGGTGTGAACTTGAACCTTCTTGCTCCAAGGCAACAGAGCAACCCACTGTGCTAACTGCGTAAATGGCTGAGTAGGTTATTAGCTAATCTGGAATTCAAAAATCAGATTTTTTTTTGTCCTTGAGCATCGTTAGGTAGCTAAAAAAATAATCTGATATTTCAAAGTTCGTCAAGAATTGAAAAAAATTGCAATCAGTTATTTATATTTCTTTAAAACAATCCGTATCGGCTCTCATAAACAGAACCAGTGCTTCAGTGATGGAGAGCTCACATCACTCCTATTCTAATGTCTCTGCACTGGTTACCCGTTAACTTTGGAGTTCATTTTAGAATCCTGATTATAACTTTCAATGCTCTACATGGTCAAGCTCCTCCCTATATTACTGAACTGTTAAGCCTTATGGTTCAACCCAGGCCCACACACCAGAACCTTCTAGAAGTTCCAAAGACCAGATATAAACGTTGAGGTGATCGCTCCTTCCAGACTTTTGCACCCCGACTCTGGAACCATCTTCCTTTATCCTTACGCAGCACTGACAGTCTGGACACTTTTAAAAAACAGTTAAAGACCCCTTTATTTAAAGCTGCTTTTACATAAATATTTTATTTTCTAATTTTTACTCAGATTTGTAATAATCTTTCATCTGTTTATGAAATTTTATATTTTTATGACTTTATTTTTTCTATTGTTAATCTAGATAATTATGATTTTATGACTGTTTTAATTTGTTTTGATCTATGTGAAGCACTTTGTGATTCTATGTCTGTGATAAATGCTATATAAATACAATTTACTTACTTCTCTACAAACAATGCAACAAACTAGAACTTTTGTGAGTTTCTAAGGATCAAGTGAAAGATGACTTTTGATTTAGAGTTATTTATTTTTTCAGCTGGCGATATTGGTCAGTTTCGATTAAAATGGTCTTTTAAATGGAACAGAATCAAAAGAAAGTCTTGAGTTACAACACAAGCAAAGATAACACGCCACACATTCACAGAAGTTAACAGATCTGAGACTGAAAGTGAAAATTGACTTTGAACACAGAACCAGTCCTTGAGCTTGTTGTATTTCTCTGCTTGGTGTAGAATGACCAAACTAAGACAATAAACCTGGGAGGTAAATGTTTGTGTCTGTTATTGTGAGCGTTGAAGCGGTCTAACATTAGACTGACACAAATGGTGTGCCGCCCTGCTGTAAACTGTGAATTCAGCTGCTTTTCTCATTGAAGGACTGACACAATGACTCGGAGTCATCAGGCGGTCTGAGTTGCAAACTCTTAACAGTTCTCAGATTTTCCTAGGGCACCTTCCTGTTTGCCTCTTATTTGATGCCAGGTTTCAGAGCCTCCTTCCAAGAAGTCTTTTCTCTTGTCATCTGTTTATAAGATCGACAGAATGTAAGAAATGTGCTGAATCCTAATCCCCATCTCCGTATGTCCTCTCAGGATCGGCCCAGAGACTGCAGCACATTCCTGGAGAGGCTGAGAGCTGCTGTCTGAAGTTGATGAGAAACCAGCCTTGCTCACGCCACACCCGTCAAGATGGCCTTCAGTTCAAGTTACTGGAATAACCTGGGACAAGGATGTGTGTTGCTATGGTGATCATTTACAAGAAAACACTGGAAAAAAAGGGCGGTGATGATGTAAGATCCACTCGTACGGACCTGGGCACGGTGAGCAGTTATCTGCTAATTCAGTCATTCAGAACGTTAGTTTCCAACGTGCAGCTTCATACAGACTGAAAGGTGAAGACATGAAAGGCAGTAATCAGTTCATACAGTTTTTTGTTTCGTTTTATGTTTCTGTTGCTCTGGGAGACTCCAGTTGCTTCTCTGAAGTTGCTAACTTACGTCTGTACTCAAATATTTGAATGAACCGAGAAAGCCCCGAATAAAAGGTCGTGACTCACGTGGAGATTTGTGTAGCTGTTACAAATAATTGCATCATAAAAGGTGGAATTTTAATCTAACTTAGAAAGCCATAGAAGCAGTCTTCCATGTTTGCTCTGTTTTTGCAAAAGTGAAATGGCTCAGAGAGAAAATTCCCCCGCTGACGTGGACCGAGTCTGACCTTTCAGTCTCAGGACATCATCACACTCATTTACAACTCTATTGAAAAGTAGTACTTTAGTAGTACTATAATACACACACAGCAAAGATGTTCTTTATCCAGTTTTTATTGTATATTGTTTTATTGACGCTGAACCTCTCTTGTACCGTTGCAGTTCAAGGCACAGACCATGAGCCAGGGAGCAGCACTATTCTCTTGTGGACTCATGGGTAAGACACAATCAATACACACACTCCAAAATCAATATGCGTATGGATCAAACCCACTGTCCTAATGTGATTATTTCCAATCACACACTGGTCACTGCTTGTAAATGCGGACTCTCTGAAGCCTGTAGAGGGCTGGACGTGTCGGATGCAGATGTTGGTCTGAAGGCGCTCGTGTTCCGAGTAATATTGGAGGAATTATTGCATACCAAGAGTGGGTGAAGAGCTCCAAGCAGTCTCTGCATTCGTTTGAAAGCATGGACTCGTGTGAAGCATGTCTGGCAGGTGGCTCTGCCTACGTAGGAGAATTCGTGTGACTACATGTTAGTATCATTACCAGGAATCTAAGTCCTGAAGGCTGTGAACCTGCTCTTTCAATCGGGTTTTAATTACCAATGTTTATATGTTAATAATCTTTAATCTTACTCCCTCACAGCAACTTTGTTGATCAGACAGAGTCCTGGCTTACAAACACTTCCAGCAGGATTTGTTTGTTTCCCACCGTCACAGACGTAAATCGGCCTCTTGGTTACTAAGAGTTGGGCCAGTGGTTCAGACTCTTAGCTGCTGACTCCGAGTCGACCAGCCAGTTCAGTTGGCTCGCTCATCAGAATGACAGGGACTTTCCACGCGTGGCATCTGCAGCGGCGTAGCAGACGAGGCGAGCGCAAGAAAACGGGATCGGCTTCAGTCAGATCTAAATAAAGTCAGCTGGACATCGGCCTCTTTCCTTTTCCAGTCAGCTGCGCAAACAGACGGTGACACCAAAGCTCCACCTGAGGGACTGGAGGTATTTTTAGTACCAATAACACAAAGCGGGGAGTAGTGGCAATACAGAAACAGATCCTCGGACCGGGCTGGACTGGAACCGTGTTGTGGAAATCGTTCATGACGCAGCCCAATTCTCCCGGCTAAAAACGTATTCTTTCCGTTTTGGAAGATTGTTTTATAAATGAGTTGACTTTGCAGATGATCCATGACAACATCACTCCTGATCATTTTATCAGCCAAACCAGTTCTGAAGTGGCAGTGACTTTGTAAATCTCCTTATTGCTGCCTACAGAATGTCCCACACGTAAGATCCAGACACAGAACATGATGTTGTACAGAATTCCCCTGACATGGATGTGATGTGTTTGTTACAGGGACAAGCCGGTGGCGTGAGGTGGGGAACAGCTGTGGCTTACAGCTGCAGCCAGTCAGAACTAGCCTGGAGAGCCTGTGGGACGTCCTGCCTGAGGTGCACAGGAGTTCTGCCCACTGGGACTGGGACGTGGGCTCCACTTCCAGCACCATCACCAGCTTGTTGCAGGACCTCAACCTGACTGAGGCGTCCTCCCACTCCACTGCGCCCCCCAGCAAACGGCAGTGCCGGTCTCTGTCTTGCTCGGATGAGCTTGGCAGTTGCCGCTCCACCTGGCGCCCACAGGGCTCCCGCGTGTGGACAGCCGTGGAGAAGAGGCGGTGCCACAGCGGAGGCAGCGTCCAGCACAGCACTCTAGGAAACGCTCAGCTCGGTTTTCCAGTGATGCAGCGCAGCTCTAGCTTCAGCCTGCCTGCTCGCTCCAACACCTTGGAGCCACCGGGCTTCACCCAGCACTTGCATCGCCCGTCTGCCTTCACTGGCCTCACACCCTCCTCCCCAGTGCGCCTCTCATCTGAGCCTTCGGCCCAGTCCCTCTACCTCTCTCATGAACAAATTAGCCTCTCTGAGGTTCCAGGAGGACCTTCCCCACCCAGCTCTCTCAACTCCACTCCAGAGCTCAAGCGGCGTGGTGGACAGGGTGGCCTCGCCCGTAGTCGCTCACAGCCATGCGTCCTCAACGACAAGAAGATTGGCGTGAAGCGCAGGAGACCAGCTGACTCGCACAAACAGAGGCCTTCACTGGATCTGGCAAAGATGACCCAGGTTGGTTTCTAAGGCTAATATTACGAGGTACAACCTTTAGCATGGGTAATTGTAACATTGCATCTTAGTTATTTGTCAGATTCTGATTCCAGACACAAAAGATCATAATGTATTGGTTGATCCCAACCTTTTGTGCTCTAAGTAACCACTGTCCTGGAAATGGCCTTACCAAGGTCCACCAGGCTCTGTGACAACTAGTTACACTCTGCTGTTTGGGTCATTCAGCTTTTCATGTTGGGGAAACCAATGCTGTGTGGGAAAGGGCATGCCGTTCTCCCTCTGTACACCTCCTAATGTTTCTGACGGCGTTGCCGTTAAAAGCAAACGTTCACTCCTGCAGGCCTGTTCAGGGTTGCATTCCAGTAGGAGGGTGTGTAGTGCAGGGAGCGTTATGTAAATGCGTTGCTGAGGAAAAATGGTTTGATCAAAGCTGAGCTTCACATTGTGGTTCGTGCATCAGATGAGAGCGTAAACACGAGGTAAATTACCGTGTGAAACATTTGGCTCGGGTCTGAAGTCGATCAGGTTTAACCGACAATTACAGGGACACGCGTGGTGAAGTTTCACACACAACACCGGCCCGACCATAAACACAGAGCTGGACTTGGCCCTTCTGAGAAAGTCACTCAGAGTTCAGCAGTGTCTTTAACAACTGTGCTGTTGTGATACGACAAGCAGACACCAAGCCAGCTTACAACAGAGACCAGGTCAGAGTGGAGAGAGCCGCCAGCCGGACGGAGCAATGTCAGGGTTAGGGTTAGGGTGCACGCCTCGCTAGCAGTTGGGTTTTCCTGCTGGTCAGGTATTGTTGCATGGTTCTTTTACTGTCCGGGGGAATAAAAAGTCATCTAGACTACAAATACTGACAAATCCAGTTACTTTAATTAGAAACATTAATGTTTATTAGAAACGTGTAGGTGTCTTAATTAGGACAATCTCGGGCTCAAAGGTGTTGAGTTGTGATGTTGGGAAAAGATTACTCACCACTTATCTGTGGGACTTTATTTTGTTTAGTGTTGCACCTTATCAGGACTCAGTCACCTGACTGTCCAGAGTACCCACAGTGCTGAGTGTGTCTGTAAAGTGTGCTGTCATCCTCCATAGAATCATTCTGATGCCTGTATTTATTTATATAGGCATCAATCACTTTAGTCTTAATGTTTAATTTTACCTCAAAATAACCCATAAGATCCTAATCAATAAAGGTATGCCATCTAAGGAGCGTTGGGAGTTTGGGAGTGATGGAAAAACAGACATTCATCTAAACTTTGTGTTGAAACAAAATTACAGCTCAGACCTATGACCTATGGCTCGAATTTCCCTCTGGGATTAATAAAGTATTATTGAATTGATTGAATTGAATTTAAATAGCTGTAAGCATGTGTAAGCATGCAACAGTCTGCACAGGTTGGAGAGGGATTTACCCATAATGCATCTAGTCTTAATGAGTTGAACCCAAAACAATCCCGTGGGTTAAAGGTTTTTCTTTTTGCATTTATAAAAATCCCACCTATCGCCTACCCACGCCTCAGACAAATGCTACGTCTGTGCCTCATGGCAGATTTGTGCAGCTTTAAGTAAACATAAAATTTCTCAGACAAAATAATAAATGTGGATAAACAAAACTCTGCACCTCAACAGCAGATGAAGCACTTTTTCACTCCCCCAACATATTTGTTAACACCAATCCCACTTTAGTCTATCGATAACTTGGAGCTGAACTCCTTAAACGTGGCTGTGAGCAGCATCTTTGACTGTCTCATGCCTTTCAAGTATTACATAAGCACACCAACAGGAGGTTTTCACAGAGGACCCATTCTCTTGGGTCCCTCAGGCCCAACGCCGGTGAGGCATGAGGCAGCTGTCCTGCCTTCTTCACATTAGCCGTACAGATTGGATAAGCCTCTGTCATAAAGCTTCTCATTCCAACACGCACAGCTGTCACAGGACCTGCCTGCAGCAGTGCTGGCACATGTGTATTTGCCTAAAGAAGTCACTGGGTTCCCCAGATGTATGTGAGCATTGTGCAGGGCCAGAGAAAGGCTAGGCGAGTCAAAAGGCCAACATGAGTGATGTGTGCCCTCTTGGTATCTGGCCACTTGCTGCGTGGGTCCTCCCTGGAACTCGGATTACTGCCTACTGCACGAAATGCAGCCTACGTTTTTAATCTGATGTTTCTTAATTATAGTTGCTGCAGTGTTCAGCCCAGCGCTTACTCATGCACATGCTGTTGCATGAGCACAGTGGAGGGATTGTTTTATACAATGGCTGTATGAGTTTAGGGTTTGACTCAAGTCACAGCAATGATATCTGTCCATGTCTTCTTGATGTGACTGATTATTTAAGTGGAAAATTATGATTAATTAGTTGTGTGAACATTGTTTGGTTTTTAGATACGTTTATGGTAGTCTAGATAACCATTTTTAAAGCGAGAATTGCTCACCTGCAGACCCATGTTGACCATGATTTCTTTTAGTCTTTAATCAGAATTCCTCTGTTAGGAAAAATGTTTGCTTTTAAAGCTGTTTTACCAAATCGATTTAACAAGCTGGCTTTTAAACACAAACATGGTAGGAGAACTCCCTTCCCTCCCCTCGGTATCTGTCATCCCTAGGCCACGCCCCCTGATCTCTGAACCCGCATTGCCAGCATAAATGAGAGCGCTAAACACCAGTCACCGTTTTCTACATCTTTTATTGTCCGTGACTTCAAATGTTGTTCTTCTTTTTGGGACCCTGGTAGTTTGTGGTAACAGCCGGCTGTTTCTCCTTCTCTGATATTTTTGAGCGGAGAACCTCTCACACCAGCAGTGTTTTGTTGCTAAATACGCGAGTGTGTAATGAGTGGAGGACCCAGGTAAAATAAGGATTTCAGTTGTCATCAAAAGTAACCACTGTTATGATTTTCCTTATGAAATTGTGTCTGTCTCCACAGAAACTTCGGAATTTCCACAGCCTTAGTTGCCCTGGAATCACAGGCAACAACCTCAACGAGTCTGGCCAGGCGGCGCCCACTCTCAGGTGCACCACGCAGTGCAACAGCGACGACTTGTCTGAAAACGAAGACAGCTTGGAGGACACTTGGTCTTGGTCCAAAGAAGGTGACTTCACCAGGAACAAGTTTTCAGACGCCACGACGGAAGAGGTGGACTGGAACCCCACGGATCGCAGCGACGGAACAACCGGAACGACCAACGGGAAGGACGGTGAGCCTCTGTGGGCGGGGCTGTGTAGCATGAGGAGGGACGCGCATCAGCTGGGAGGCGAGCTCGACATCGAGCAAATTGAGAGGAACTGAGCCGCTTTCCTCCCAGGAGAAGCTAAATTAGGGGAGTGGAAGTTTATCGCCAGGTGGTACAATAAACAGTGCTGATAGTCTTAAGGACAAAGCAAGTGAGGAGCTCAGGCACAGAGCATTCCAAGTCTAAGGATAGACGGAATCGGAGCTTTGTGCTTTAAATGTCTGTTTGGAGACTTTTTAGAAGAAACTCCCTCAATGGACAGATTCTCAGCTGTGTCTCAGGAGAAAATGGAAGTCAGGGAAGACGGATATGAGTGGAAATACAACTGATCAGTTGAAAAATCTTATAAAGTCACTCTTTAACCCTGATTAGCCTACTTGTGCTTTGTTGGAAGAGAATTCACAGCAGGCTTGTATAAATTCTCTACACTTGAAAGTGTCTTTTCCTCTGACGTTCTTCACAAGCGCATAGGTACATGATGGAGAGGAGTAGACACCACTTAAAGAGCTACACACACACACACACACACACACACACACACACACACACACACACACACACACACACACACACACACACACACACACACACACACACACACACACACACACACAAAACACCAATAAAAATACTGAAGAGCTTAACATTTTACATTTCAGGCTATGCAGTAAGATCTACTCTCCTGAATGTCTGGAAGATACTTTGAGATGCTAACAGCGTTAATATTCATTCTTTTTACAATTTGTAACTATGACGCTATGTAAAAACATGATTTCTATAAAGAATAAATGCAGGTTTAAAAGTGTCATTTGTGATCACGTTATTTGTCATCTACTTGTGAAATCTGGGTTACAGGCTCTGCTTTCTGACAAATCAACGCAAATGTGAAAATGTTGCTCAGAAAGTCAAATAAGAGATGTGAGTGGGTGTGGATAAATTATCAAGCTAGCCTGAATTCTTGTAAATGGCAAAGTGTGACATCCTGTCTGTTAGAACATGTGAATGAGTAAATGATTTTGGTGCAAAATTAGATTTTTGGTGTTGAAGTGTTTGTCTTCTTACCAAACTTTACATCATGCAGTAATCTAAAGCGAGCTTAAATATACGACTCTGCGTAGCTACGTTTAAAATTTGCACATTTCATTGCAGGACTTTTGTCTTGTTGGGGTATTTAGCTAGAATGAAGCTTTTTATGACTGAATAGAGCACATGTATTAACAGCAAGGTCATTGTTGGCAACGTCTCTATTGCAACAATACACACTGACCCAGTTAAGTTGCAAGAAAACAATTGCAGCAGCAAGAGTGGTGCGACTGATGGGTCTGTGTTTGTGTGCTGAAGCGGGGACGGAGTGAGGAGAGGACGCCGTGCAGGGGAGGAAAGCACGGTCTCTTTTTCTTCTTTTTTCATTTTGGTGGCGGGTTGAGTGGTGAAGCTGAGCGACAGTTCACCCCAAAGACCTTGCGCCCTCCCCGCTTTGGGAAACAAAAGGGGCCTTTTCTCTAAGGAGCACAGTGACGTGGGAGGCGGCGGTGAATGTGGGCCATGTGTCAGGGCTGTTGCTGCTCCGTTTGTCTGCTTCCCCCTCCCCTCAGCTCTGGTGGCTGTGCAAACCTCAAGAGTTTATATTGTTGTCAACTTTCTGATTCACTACTCTGTTGTGATTGCGCACCCCTTTCAGCACGACTGCGTGCACAAATGACGCTTGGCATTCTTTGAAAGCGTAAGGTACCACGGGGAAGAACAAAGTCACGTCATTAAAGTAATTTAAAGATTGCTTGACATGCTATTCTCTGGGCTCAGATTCCACACAAAGCCTATCTGTGGGGACTTAAGTGGCCTGCAAGGCCGCTGCATACTCTCGTAATGGATTATTATGTTGTCCTACAAGAATCTTTATGCTTGCACAGTGCGGTCACATTCTCTCTGTCAGCCGCCTGTGGTATGTGCAGGCCACTTACTGGTCCTCTTCATATTCTGTTATGAAGGAAATGGGTAAACACGGGCCTTGTTAAATGTGCTGAGCGGCAGACTGACACACCGAGGGCCCCTGGCCTTTAATCAGTGCCGTGACAGAAGAGAAAGGAGGCTGTGTTCTGGCAGCAGATAGGCATATAACATGGGGGGTGGGCCATGCCAGGGTTCTGCACCGCACTCACAGCCTCCACCGGCAATGACTCCAGCAGTTCTGGTTACTTACAAACTGCCATGGGAGGTGCTGGATGGCCCTTTCTCCTTTAATAATGATTTATAGTATACATATTTAAGGTTTTCCTCAGTTGTGTCACAGGTGTAAAAAAAAAAGTGTGACCGTTAAACTTAAAACCTGGTCGTAACACCCTTGTTGGCAACAACTATGACCAAGTGTAATTGTGGTCTGCTTGTCTTTGCAGGGTTGTTTTAAAGGCCGGGTTCACAGAGAAACCTTTTTTTACTTGTTAATCTGAACTATAATCAGTAATTTAGAGTTTAACATGCAGGCTGAACATGAAAATAGTCCTCTAGTCCTATTTCCTGCATTAGCCGACAGAAAATAGAAGGGGAAACACTCAAAGTAGAAAAGCCAGTTAATTCTACATCACATTGTTAAATTAGCATTTAGATAGTAGAAGCTAACCGCATTAGAAACTCCACTACGCAGCAGATCTCCAGGTTTGTGTTATTTGCGGAAACAAAACATCCACATTGCAGAGCAAACAGAGTCACTGGTAGAGTCACGCTGCTGCTAGCCAATCAGAGGTGTGTTCTGCTCCACTCTCCTCTGGCTAACTCCTAGCTCCTGAAACAGGAGTGCCAGAGTTTTTTCCCCACAAGAGATAGACTTATAAAGGACTCATTTATACTAGAGACCACTGCAAATGTGTTAGACAAAACAAGTGAACTTGATCTTAAATGTAACCACGTTTGAGGCATTTCAGGCGGCTTTGCTCATTGCATTTCAGGATTTTCCAGTAGAGCAGAAATCATAGTTCCATCTGTTAACGAAAATGTTCCAGGTCCTGAAGCATAAAAAATGCTTCAAACCATCACACTGCCACCACCATGTTTCTCCACAGAACTCCTCCGTTGTGCTACTTTGCATTCATGTTGATTCCTCAGTCTCATGAGTGTGGTGGTAAAAAGGCCTGAGGTGTGGCTGGTGAAACTGAATTCAGCTTTCCATATAATGTAATTAATCACATTTCATTCATATAACAAGGGAGGAAAACACTTTTCACATAGGGCCAGTGAAATACCTGAAAATTGCATTTGCTGCTCTAGACTTCTGCCTGAAATAGAAATTTGTTTGCTTGTCTGAAACATTTAAGGGGGAAAAAAATCTGTATGGGGTCAATATTTTTTCACTGCACTGTAGGATTAAACTACTGATGGTATTTCCTCTTAATGTGCACAAACAAACTTAAGTTGGAAAAAATAACGTGCATACAACAAGAATTGGAAATTGGCAGGAGTTTTTAAGGTTCCTCACTCAGCAGCTTAAACGTGGTCGGAGTGAAGGACAATTCTGCAGAACCACCAAGCCACTAAACATTTCCAGTTGGTCAAGTGACGCTTGATTTCTTCACATAAAAATTAGAGCTATAATATTCGAAAGGCAAACTCAGCTGTGAAGAACAAACTCCAAACCACACACTTCTATTTTACTCATTCAGTGAAGAACCCAAGTTCAGCAGCTAAACTGGAGACAAAGACACATTGAGGCTGTAAGAGCTGCCTTTTAACCTTGAAGTAACCCTTCCCCAGGATGACCGTAGGCTGTAAGGTGTGAGAAGTAACCGGGCGTACTCTTACTTTAACAAAACGTGGCAGAGAAAGGAGAGATAGTGGTAAAAACATCCAGCGGCAGTTCTGTGGGAGAAAATGCCTTGTTGTTGCCAGAGGTCAGAGGAGAATGGCCAGACTGGTTTGAGCTGATAGAAAGGCAACAGGAACTCAACCTCTCGTTACAACCAAGGTATGCAGAAGAGCATCTCTGAATGCACAACAAGTCGACCCTTGAGGCAGATGTGCTACAGCAACAGAAGACCACACCGGGCGCCACTCCTGTCAGCTAAAAACAGGAAACTGAGGCTACAATTCACACAGGTTCACCAAAATTGGACAATAGAATATTGTAGACATTTGATTTGATTTCTGCTGCAACATTAGGATGTTATGGTCAGAATTTGGCGTCAACAACATGAAAGCATGGATCCATCCTGCCTCGTATCAATGGTTAATGCTGGTGGTGGTGTAATGGTGTGGGGAACATTTTCTTGGCACACTTTTGGCCCCTCAGAACTAATTGATCATTGTTGCAATGCCACAGCCTACCTGAGTATTGTTGCTGACCATGTCCATCCCTTCATGTCCACACTACCCATCTTCCAGCAGGATAATACACCACAACGCTGGAATCATCTCAGACTGGTTTCTTGAACATGACAATGAGTTCATCGTAATCAACCCAATAAAGTGGCCAGTGAGTGTACATTCAGCCTTTTGGCTGAATTATGTGTTCGTATGCAGTCAGTTATGGTATCACGGGGACATGTTCTGTGTCTGTGGTGGAGGGTCACATCTCCAACTGGGTTAGTGATGACTGCAGCTACTTTAGCGGAGTACAGACTACTCTGTGTTTGAGCTGGGACACTTCTCAGATTGCTGTTGGGGGTGTATGTCCCTGGAGTGAGATTGAAGGCAAGCAAGGAAAGGAAGGAAATCTCAGTCTTTAGCTCAGACTTTACAACTTCTAGGGCTTTAAAAATCTCACCTACGAGAGCTGTTGGCATGGCTGCCCTCAAGGAGAAAAAGAGAGTGATGAAATGTTAGGAAACCACGAGGCTTGGCAAGCAAGAGGGCCTGTCTGCTTGGAGCTACGCTCCACATGAAGAAGGGAGGGGGGGACGGGGGGACGACTGCCTGTAATAAAAACAAGTGCGTGCTTCCACGGATAACGGCGCATTCAGTGCTGCAGGTGTGCAGCGTCGTCTGGTCAGCTGATCTGATGTTTCCTGTCAAACAGGAAGAACCAAATGAGCGGAGATGAAAGTTCAGGGTAGCACACAGCTGGGAGTTGTTTAGGTGGGTAAATGCAGGTGTATTTTCGGAGCGCCTACATGTGTAAGACGAGTCTAGCCCAAACAGATGACATACAAACATGTATATATGTCAGTGGGTGCTAAGGAAATTCTGCAAAGATGCATGTTATGGTCTCAATAGCATCATTCTGGAAAATCTCATTTTGACTCAACTTAATCAGTCTGAAAATATGCACGTACAGGCCACTTCATTAGGTACACCTTATTAGTAGTGAGTGGGACCCCCTTTTGCTGTTGGGGCAAACTTAATTCTTCATGTCATGGATTGAACAAAAAAGTTTTAAACGCTCTGGTCCATGTGCAGTTTTGATGTGAACCTCGTATACCACTACATCCCAAAGGTTCTCGACAGGACTGAGATCTGGTAATTGGAGGTCGTCAAGAGTACTGTGAACTCATCATCATGTTATAGACACCAGTGAGAGACGATCTGAGCTTTGTGACATGATGCAGTATCCTAATGGAAGTAGCCGTCAGAAGATGGGTCCATGTGGTCATAAAGAGATGGACATGGTCAGCAACAATACTCAGGCAGGCTGTGGTGTTTGAACCAGGCTCAGGTAGTACTAAAGGTCCAAAGTGGGACAAGAGCATTTTAATCACACCAGCAGTAGCCTGAAGTGTTGATACAAGGTAGGATGGATCCATGCTTTCATGTTGGTGACACCAGATTCTGACCCGACCATCTAAATTAGGGGTGTCAAATATGCGGCCCGCGGGCCGAATCCGGCCCGCAAGCGGGTTAAATCCGGCCCACGAGATGGTTGTGTAAACTTTATTTTCATACTTTACAATGTAGAGTGAAACTAAACTTATCTTTGTGAGCAAGTTTTCTCTGTAATGAGTATAAATAAAACAAAGCTGCGCTCAAGGCTCACACAGGAACTTGAATCACATCCTGAAGTTGGCCGCCACTCAGGCTGTCTGATGTTGATGTGCCGGTGAAAGCTAAAAGATGTAAAGTAAAATGAGTCAAATATATTTGAAGTGCTACATGAAACTGATCTAGCCATGTGATCTGTAAGCTCTTTGAATCACTAAGGAATGCTTTTATTTATTTTTTATTTTTTTTTACATTTTCAAGTACACTCAGGTGTTGTACTTGTACTATTTTGGATACACTGTCCTCAGGCTCCAGCCTTGTTTTATATTGATTGTATTAAAACAAAGAAAACAATCTGAAGTTGATTTTAATTTACCGGTCCGGCCCACTTGGGACTAGATTTCTCGCAATGTGGCCCCTGAGCTAAAATGAGTTTGACACCCCTGATCTAAATGTTGCTGCTGAAATCCTGACTCATCAGACCAGGAAACCCTTTCTAGTTTCTCATGGTCCAGTTCTGGTGATCCTGTTCTCAGCTGACAGCAGTGACACTTGGTATGGTCTTCTGCTGCAGGAGTCCATCTGATTCAAGGTTCACCATGCTGTGGTGCAAAGATGCTATTCTGCAGACTTTGGTTATAACCTGTGGATATTTCCTTTATCAGCCTGTCTTCTATTGACCTCTGACATCAAGAGATTTTTGATTCACACAGCTGCTGCTCACTTGATATTTCTTATAAATCCTGGAGATGGTTGTGGAAGAAATTCCCAGTGGGTCAGCAGTTTGTAAAATACTACAGTTCGTCAAGCACCAACAACCATCCCATGTTCTGATGCCTTATTTGAAAATCAGCAGGCTGTCTTCAGCTCATGTAGATGTCCGAGTTACTTACTGCAACTGGTTTGGCTGAATAACTATTTGTGTTGTTTTTTTAAATAGAGTGCTCAGTGAGTATAGAATAAAAATATAGTTTTAGACTTCCAATACAAATGTAAAGTTTCAGAGGGGTCTTTAAAACAGGAAGAAATGCTCCCGGTGGTCCCAGCAGACAAACTCCAAGGGTTCACATCCTTGATGTGTCAGCTGACAGAAATATAGAAATGAGGCCATCTGAACAGTGGTTATAGAAAAAGAGAAGGTAAAAAAAAGGGTGGGACACTCAAATGGATAGTCGCAGCATGCTCTTGTGACACAAACAGACATGCATCTGCCTCAAATCAACCTGAACTGATATGAAGATCATTTGATGGAAAAACTGCATTTTTATTATGATTGTTGAGCCTCCAAACATGTGGAAACGGGCGTAAAAACAATCCAAAACCCTGATGCAAGGCCCCATTTTGAATATTTTGCTGAAATCCATTTATAAACTTAGATAAAGGCAGAGTACTGTTACATCACTTGAACTTTTTCACTTCATATTGCTCAACAAGGCTGCTAATTCAATCCAAGTTCTCAACACAACTACAAACAAGAAAGAAAGCATAAATAATGCAATCCAAGATGCATAAATAACCTTGAACAACTGCCTCAGCTGCTCAAAGCTTCACCAGCAGTGTGTCGATCCAGTGGCAGCGAGGTCAGACATGCCCAGACACATCTCCCAAAATGAGGTCATCTTTATTATCCAAATGGTTATGGAGCTCAGCAGTGAAATAATCAATACGCTGAACTCCAGGTGGAACATGTCACTGTTTACCCAACATGGCAGCCTGACTATGCTGCAGGTAAATGTTTGCTAATCTGTAACCCGTGTGAAACGGGTGGACGACCTCAGAGGCGTGGGTAACAACCAGCCAGCTCTGGGTCGTGCGACTTGTTTGTACTTAATGCTGAAATATGGTGTACTTGCCAGGAGGAGGTGTTGAAAAATGTCCCAGGTCCCACAGATCCCACACTTCCATAAACCGGGAAGAGAAAATATTAAGCTAAAGTGAATTCATCGAAGAGCAGTCAAACAGAAGTGTCATGGCTCCACACAAGGCCAATGGGCAGTAAGGAAACCGACAAAACATTGATTCAGACAATGTGTAGACTGTTGAAAGTAAGAGTAGCAGCTGCTGACGCTTTGTTGCGTATATTAATATTTATTAAATGGGAACTTGGAGCGATTCAACCAGATCAGAAAGTTTCATAACACTGTAGCATTTTATTACCTCTAATTGTCCAATAACACTCAAAGCTTGTGTGTCAGCTGATGGTGAACTGAACCAGAAAGGCCTTGCTGAATCATTTGGCAGCGGGGTTTTGTTCCTGCTCACCGCATCTGGCACACTGAAACCTTGGGGGCAGTGATTGAGAATCGTTTGTTTTATGGCCCACTTAAAAAAAAAAAGGGCCTCCATGATCCAGCGGGCTCAGAGACGCGATGAACCAATGTTCCAACACCCAACAATCCTCAGCAGAAGTGGCTGGATGTGAAAATAACACAGATAGGCAGTTCTAGATGTGCTATTCTTTACTCTGATGATGGGGAATCTGCTTTGGCTTCTGTTTACAGAGTGGGAAACGTGAGCTGAGGCGGCTGCAGAATTCATCAAATGGGCTTGCATTCTGCTATTATTGTCTCTCTGAAAAACTCACTTCCCATTTCTAGAGGTTTGTTATTGTAAAACAAAAGCTGCTCTGGTATGATATCCAGTTTAAGCCAGAGCCAAGGCTGCATTCTGCCCCGTCGAGTTGAAAATTTAAGGCTTTGAGTGAAACAATGACAAGATGATCCCGCACATTTACACATATTTATTCATAACCATCAAATATACGTTGTATTAGCTTTCTTACACTTGAAAATTGATTAAATGACATCAGATTAATTTTGTGCACGACTCTGCAGTGTGGGTGCACTCGTGTCCAGAAGCTTCCTAGGCAGTGTAACAGTAGCAGAGTCTGAACACACACAGCATTACTTTCATCATCTAACTGTCAATCAGCAGCTGGTTACAGGCACATTCGTGTCAGTTTGAGGTATCACGTCTATGCCAATTGCACGGCGACAAATGCACGGTGCAGCTCTGAAGCATTCGCAACTCTCAGGAGGGAATTCACTGGAGCTAGTGTGACACTACGTGGGGCAGCAGATGGCTGATCCTTTCCCACATCTGAGAGCACGGTGAGCTGTGAGAGTTGACACAACATATCCTGTATTGCTTTGACATTTTTCTTGAGTTAGCTCAGCACAAGTGTCCACTCCCAATGTGAAGCAACATTTTAACAAGCTACATTTTAATACTACTGGGAAATACTCGTCAGAACTGGTGGAGGCTGCTCGGGCTCCACTTCGGTTTAATTCAAAAGCCTCTCTGCTTGAGAATCATGTCCACAGCCTGAGCCAGGTTGTCCACAGTGCCATCAGCGGTTACTGTAGGGTGCTTCTCATCACTTGGCCTGCAGGATAAGAAGGAAAAACACAAGGTTCAAGAGGCAATAAACAGGAAATAGCATTTAGATGCAGCAGAGTTGCAGCACAAACTGTCTCACTGGGTTTTTGAATTAACATTTGTCAATAAAAAAAAGTGGAGGTGTGTTCTCTCCAAATGAACAGCAATGCAAAAAGTCTGAAGTTTGTCAATAAGTTATGTTGTTGCTGAGTTGCTATCCCCACAGCTAAAGGTATCGGTGCAGCTGCTTGCCAAACACAAGTGCAGAGCCGTGCACGTTGTTTTCTTTCATCGCCAGCTGCAACATCGAGTTTCTATCGGCATATTCATTCAACTGAAATGGAAATGTTCAGTTAAAAATTTAATCAATGAAAACTGTAAAGAGTTTTAAAAAGCAAAAAACCAATGAGAGATAAGGAAGTTTCCTCCAAACATAATTACACACCGATTTGTCTGTCTGTGCCTTTTAGTGAAGTGACAGATAGGTCGTTTTAAAAGAGGTCAGAAAAGCAGCTAACACCCACTAACAACTGGCTTTTCAGTGCAATGGGAAAGTGTTTAATTAGCATTCGGTGCAGATCAATTGACCCAGCAGCAGTTGGGGTTTTTTATTGGCTCGAGCTCCAGTCGACACTGATGGAAACACAATACCCTGGTGCTAATGTCAGATAAATGATTCGGCTGCACATGAAGCTGCAAGACAGCAAATGACAGATCATTTGCTGCTGTGGCCCCCAGACTCTGGAACTCTCTCCCCCTGAGCCTGAGATCAGTGGACTCAGTGGTCTCCTTTAAAAAGCAGCTGAAGACTCACTTGTTCAAGGTGGATTTGTACGACCTCCTTCACCACTCTCTTTATTCTGCTCTCCCTACCTATTCCACCTTCCCCAGGATCCACTGATTTCCCTCTTTCCTGTTCACTCTCTCTCTTTCTTAACATTTTTTTAATCACAATTGCCTATTTTTGCTCATTTTAAAGACGGTACGACAGAGGCCATATTATTTGGGCCAAATGGTCACATTGACGCCTCCTTCTAGGTAAAGGTATCTGTAGTAAACCTTGGAGTGAAGTTGGGTAACACACTCTGGTTTGATGGCCACTTAAATAGAGTTGTTTCTTCCTCTTTTAATCATCTGCAGCGTTTGGCTAAGGTGAAACTATCCTTGTCTGAGGCAGTAGTTCATGCATTTATTACAGCTCACCTCAACTACTGTAACACGATTTTATTTGGGCTGATCCAGGGTACCTTAATTCACTTCAATTCAATTCAAGTTTATTTATATAGCGCCAAATCACGACAAGAGTCGTCTCAAGGCACTTCACATAGTAAACATTCCAATACAGGTCAGTTCATTAAGCCAATCAGAAAAAAGTTTCCTATTAATGGAACCCAGCAAATTGCATAAGCTTTACAGCAATCCTCCTACTAAGCAAGCATTTAGCGACAGTGAAGAGGAAAACTCGCTTTTAACAGGAAGAATCCTCCAGAGGATCCTGGCTCAGTATAAGCAGCCATCCACCACGACTCACTGGGGATTGAGAAGACAGAGCAGACACACACATACACCAACACCAACACCAGCCCACCCACACACAAACACACATCCACCCACACAACACATATCCCGAGAAATGTTTCTATGGTTACATTGTGATTTCTTAGTAAATATTCTATTTGGTAAGAGATAAACTTTATTGTATTTATCCTAGTGAATCTATAATTAAACGGGTAAACTAGTAGTAGCACATTCATTGTCAAGTAAAATGTTATTATCAAGAGAGGGAGAATGATTAAATAGTTAGCAACAGTGTTTAAGACGATGGCCCCCTCCATGAGGGCACCACAGCTCAGCAGAACACCATTGTAGCTTCTTATGGGGAGAAATACACTTAGAGAAAAAATAAAGTTAACAGCTGAAATAGCAGGAAATAATACAGTTAAAGAGCAAATTGTAGAAGAAAGTAGTTGAGTGTGGAAAGTGGTCAGTATGTCCTCCAGTAGTCTAAGCCTATAGCAGCATAACTACAGAGATAACTCTGGATAACCTAGCCTTTTAGATGGAGGCATATTGGAGGCAGGGCAAGGGAGAGCTGTCTTTACCGACTGTACACTCCACCTCCCTGTACTCCCCCACTTGTCCAGATCTGGGCTAACATCAAATTTTAACCATAGGCCCTATCAAATAAAAATGTTTTAAGCCTAGTCTTAAAAGTAGACAAGGTGTCTGCCTTGGACTAAAACTGGGAGTTGGTTCCACAAGAGAGGAGCCTGACAGCTAAAAGATCTGCCTCCCATCCTATTTTTCTGGGACAGTGGCGTGTCCAGATCTTTTAAAATGAGGATTCCCAGGTGAGGCACAACTTTGTGCATGGGTGGCACCAATGGTTATGCTTTTTTTGTTTTACCCCCAAGCCTTTTGTGGACAGTGAAAAGCCTATTTAAAGGTAAATTAGTGTGGTGGCACCTGGGGTGGCCAATCAGATTCCAAGGGTGGCATGTGCTACCCCAGGCCACTCCCTGGTCACGCCCCTGTTCTGGGAACCACCTGTAAACCTGCAGTCTGAGAGAAAAGTGCTCGGTTAGGAACATATGGAACAATCATATCACTGATGTATGATGGAGCGTGATTATTGAGAGCTATATATGTGAGAAGGAGGATCTTAAAATCTATTCTGAATTTAACAGGCAGCCTCCTCTCTTAGTAGGGAAGCTAAGACAGGAGAGATATAATCTCTCTTTTTAATTCTCATCAGAACTCTAGCTGCTGCATTTTGGACAAACTGAAGACTTTTAACTACATTCTGTGGACTTCCTGAGAGTAATGAATTACAGTAATCCAGTCTTGCTGTAATAAATGTTTGAACTAGTTTTTCAGCATCACTCCTGGAAAGGATGCTTCTAATCTTAGCGATGTTCCGAAGGTAGAAAAAAGAAATCAATCAATCAATCAATCAATCAATCAATCAATCAATCAAACTTTATTTATATATAGCACTTAATCATGCAATATATGCAACTCAAAGTGCTTAACAAATTAAAAAGGCCCCGCATACCCACATACCCTCCCATCATTCCGGAACTGCGCTGCTCTGGGTGGCTGCATGTTGGAGTAGCTCTGTTGACTATATGTAAGTTTTGCCTTTTCTTGGGACATTTTTTCTTCTAGTTTCTCAAGAAAAACTGTATTTTTGTGGACATTTTACTTTTCTGTTTCTGGTGCTGTGAAGCTTGGAGTATTTTTACTGTTATTTTTTCACTTTTTGAGCATTTGTCATGATGCGTAACCATGGCAACAAGCTGGTTTACAATCAGGAGCAGCTGATTAACATTGGAAAGGCTGAAATAATACCTCAACTGAAGCCACATATCCCAAATGAGCTAAAATGCAAGAAGCATGGATACACAGCGGGAGCAAAACAGAGACAGAGAAAGAGGAAATTCAAACCATCTCTTCCATCGATCATAATGGGCAATGTGAGATCACTGGCCAACAAGATGGAGGAACTCCAAGCCCTTTCAGGGACTCAGCCAGAGTTTCGGCAGTGCAGTGTTATGTGTTTCACTGAGACGTGGCTGCAGGACCATATCCCAGATTACAGCGTCTCTCTGCCAGGATTCCTGACTGTACGAGCATACAGAGATCTGAAGAGGAGCGGGAAAAGAAAAGGAGGTGGAGTGGCAGTGCTTGTCAACAACAGATGGTGCCATCCAGGTCACGTTTCAGTGAAATGTCGTCTCTGCAGCCCAGATGTTGAACTCTTGGCAGTAAATTGTGGCCCGTATTATTTGCCAAGACAGTCCACCAGTGTTGTCTTGGCAACCGTTTATATTCCGCCTTCAGCCATTGCTGAAAATGCATGTGATGCCATCAGTTCTGTTGTCGCTAAGCTACAAACCCAGCACCCCAATGCATGTGTGGCTATATCCGGTGATTTTAATCATGCCTAGCTCTATGCTGCACTTCCAACATTTCAACAGTTTGTCAGCTGCTCCACCAGAGAAAACAAGACATTTGTGTTATGCAAATGTAAAGAACGCATACATGTCCAAAACAAGACCTCCTCTGGGACAATCAGATCACAATCTTGTTTTTCTCTGCTCAGAATACAAACCACTTGTTCAGAGGCAACCTGTGACAAGAAGAACTGTGAGAAAATGGTCACAGGATGCTGAAGAAGCCCTGCAGGTGTGATTTGAGACCACAGATTGGATGACTCTCTGCCAAGGATATGAAGAGGACATCAATGCCATGACTGGGTGTGTCACTGACTATATAAACTTCTGTGTGGACAACATCATACCCACCAGAACAGTGAGATGCTTCGCTAATAACAAACCCTGGATCACCAGTGAACTGAAGAATCTGCTAAATGAGAAAAAAGAGCCTTCAAGGAGGGAGACAGGAAATTATTGAGAAGTATACAGAAGCAACTGAAGATCAAGATCAGAGACAGCAAGGAGGCATACAAGAAGAAGCTGGAGAACAAACTACAGAGGAAAAATATCAGAGATGTCTGGTCAGGGATGAAGAAGATCACAGGCTTCAAGCAGAGGAAGGATTGCACAGATGGCAGCCTGGACACAGCCAATGACTGAACAAGTTCTTTAATAGGTTCAGTTCAGGAACAAACCCAGCATCCTCCTCACCTGTCCCCAGCCAATCAGACATCCCATCCTCCTCTGATCCAACATTTTCCTGTCACACGCCAGCTCTTTTGTCCTCTAAAGCAGTCATGGACTCTTCTGGTTCTATAAATCTGTCTTCAACCAAGTCAGGAGATGCTGCTGCCCCATTTACCTCCCCCTCCCACCTATCTGTCTCTAGAAGTCAGGTGAAGCGGTAGCTGGAGAGACTGTACAGGAACAAGGCTGCAGGTCCAGATGGTGTCAGCCGCAGGGTACTGAAGGCCTGTGCAGAGCAGCTCTGTGGGATTCTGCAGCACCTCTTCAACCTCAACCTGGCCCAGGAGAAGGTTCCAGTCCTGTGGAAGACATCCTGCCTTGT